CAACTTTATTGCGACAGCCAATCTGCACTTCACATAGCTGCCAACCCCGTGTTTCACGAACGCACGCAACACATTGAAATTGATTGCCACTTCATCCGTGATGAGCTACAGAAAGGTGTAATCTCTACTCGTTTTGTTTGTTCTGCAGCTCAGTTGGCTGATCTTTCACCAAGGCCCTTGGTGGTTTGTCCTTCAGTCCTTTCCTGTCAAAGTTGGGCGTTTGTGACCTTCACGCTCCACCTTGAAGGGGGTATTGTCACATATATGTATTATTTGTTAAATAAAATTAGGATCCTTCCCTTAAATAGTGTGTGGTTTATCCATTCTATCAGGGCTTTTAATTAGGAGTTGATTTAGTTGTTGATTGAGAAGTTAATTTAGGACAACCATGTATTGTTAAGGCGGCTGGGGCAACAACAGTGCGGGGGAAGCACTCTGCATTTTTTTTGGGATTGGAATTGGGGGTTTTAACTTCTTCATCTAGAACCACAATGTAAATATAGTTGACAGACATGACACTTCTAAATTCATCCAAAAAATCTTTTAAATTCTAAGGCAAAATTACTCATAATTTTCGTATAGTTTCTAAATTTAGCATAATTTTTTTACTTTAAAATTGCATGACGTCTTTTATAGTTAAAAAAATATTGCATAAAACTCCCGTTGTGCAAAAAATATAGATGAGAAACCTTATTCTTATCACACAAAAAATATAAAAAATATTTCATACTAACGTTTTTTAAAGTATAAGAAAACGTTATACAATTTTGAGTAAAAATCAAATTCGGTCTCAATCAAACCTTTTTTTTTTTTCATTTTTGGTCCCATTAAAAAATAATTATCAAAATTAATCCCATACAAAAAACTGTTGGGAACACACAAGGGAAAATAGAAAAAACAAAATAACAAGACACGATAATTTAACGTGGTTTGTTCTCACAACAGACCTACATCCACGATCCCAAAATGGAATAATCCACTAAAATATTTATGACAATTTTTGCACGGACAAAATTGCAAAACCCTCATCACAGCAACTCACCAATCTCAATTTCACTATCTCTAGTTACTAAAGAAAAAAGTTCATTGTTTTATTCTAAAATAGGACCCAAAGGGGTCCATTTATAGGAGTCAATGCCCCTACCTTTTTATCACACTTCCGATGTGGGACATGGAAAGTTACATAACAAATCCTCCCTCTTCCCATAGTCTCACATATTTTGACCATGTCAGAAAAACGAACTCTCTTCTCGATTTTATGATTCTTCATATCATTGCTGCTCTCCACATTTGCTCGCAAGGCGCATCCATCTAGATAATAAATATGGTTTTGTTTCTTCCTCCCTTGCATAATCAACCTGTCACCCTTGTACATTTTGCATAGATTTTTATTGCCAACATATATATACCCATGTGAAGTCAACTCGCCCAATGAAATAACATTAGCTTCAATAGTAGGCACATATCTCACATTAAAAATTGTTTTGACATTACCATTGTGGAGCTTCAAGCGAACTCTTCCAATGCCTTCAATTCACTGCTTCATCTTATTCTCCAGATTGATATAGCCAAAATCTTCCTTTGTATGCAAAGTATCAAATAAAGCTTGATCTTTACATATATGGACATCGGCAGCAGAATTCATCACCAAATTAGAATTCTCAACATGATTTGTATTTAAAAGAAGTAAATCACCTTCATAATTGACCATGTTCGCGGAGTTCACAACTTTCGACTTACCCTTCAAATTTATCAGACTTCTCAAGTCTTCCTTAAAAAGTCGACAGTGATTTTGAATGTGACCAAGCTCTCCACAATAATGACATTCAACAGAGCTGTAATCTCTCGGCCGAGATTTCGATCTTCCACCATGGTCACTCTTCATTTTCCTCCCTTTTTCGGAACTCCCCACAGCTAGTAGTTGACTCTCATTTGAAGCACCTTCATTTTCTATAATCTTGTCATTCTCCTTCAAAACCGTTGTCGTCTCATTCAATTTCAATGTAGTTTTTCCAACTAACATTGATTGCACCAACGGCTTGTAGGATTTGGGCAATGAAGCTAACCAGAGCAACGCTTGCTCTTCCTCTTTAATTTTCTCTCCTGCATTCAACAGTCGACATACTAGCTCATTAAACTTGTTAGTATGGTCAATTATATTACATCCTTCCTCCATCTTCAAAGAGTATAGATCAATTTTCATAATTAGGTGGTTAGTCAACGTCTTCGTGGCAAATTTACTATCCAAAGTATCCCACAACCTCTTCGGCGATGCTTCCGTCAACACGGTAACCTTTATATGCAGGGTGAGTGCCAATCGAATCGTGCTAACAACTGTTTTCCTAATCATACTCCAATCACCTTCTTTCATACCTTCAGGCTTTGCATCTTCCAAGGCAACATCAAGACCTTGCTGCACCAAATAGTCTTGAATTGTGCTTTTCTACATAGTAAAATCACCATTTCCATCAAAGAGCGGAACCTCATATTTTAAAATAGTGGACATAGTGCTTAATAACTCTCCAATAAATAAGCACTTCCAACAACCAAATAAACTGAGGCTAAAAAATAAATTCAGGAACTCAAATCAGACAGAACCGATCTTTTTGGCAGAAATCTGGTGTGTTGCCGGAACCTGTTGCAGAACTGCAACCCGGACTATTGGCGTGCCGTAAACTTCTCTCGAAACACCTCTTGCTCCTTTCCTCCTCCCTTTGCCAAGACCTCGCTAAAAAATAGCCTCGCTCTGATACTACTTGTTGGGAACACACACACAAGGGAAGAGAGAAAAAATAAAATAACAAGATACGATAATTTAACGTGGTTTGGTCTCACAACAAACCTACATCCACGATCCCAAAAATGGATAGTCCACTAAAATATTTATTACAATTTTTTCACGAACAAAATTGCAAAAACCTCCTCACAACAACTCACCAATCTCAATTTCACTCTCTCTAGTTACTAAAGAAAGAAGTTTGTTATTTTATTCTAAAATAGGACCCAAATGGAACAATTTATAAGAGTCAATGCCCCTACCTTTTTATCATACTTCCAATATGGGACATGAGAAGTTACACAACAAAAACAAATATTATTTCTGATCTCACCGTTAAATTTCAGCGGAATAAGCTGACATGGCAATTATGAAGCTGATGTAGCAAGCGATATAGAACAAACACGGCTATGTTATAATTAACACGACTATGTTTTTTCAATTAAATATTATATCACCATATTTATACCAACAAACCACGGAACACGTCCGTGTTCAGATTGAAGCAATAATTACAAATTCAAGAGTTGGAAGAGACTGCTTTGGTAATATTGAACCCACATTCATAATAATTATATTTAATAATTTACTTATAAGATTTATTTTTTAATTTAATATACATTAATTTGATGTATTTAGTAATATTTAAAATTAAATTTTATTTTTTTATGTGCTAAAATTATACTTTATTTATCCTAATTAATCTATTCATTTTAGTTTGAGAATAGAGGTTTAGATACTATGTAATTAGTAAATAATTAAAAAGTGTATTAATAAAAATAATTATGATATAATTAAAATAATTATAGATTAAAATTAAAATAATTAAATAATTTAATTAAAATAAAAATTATGAATTATGAACTTTAAAATACGAATAAAATGATAATTATATTTAAAAAAATTTATGTGGGACTGACGAATATGAAAAAAGTGGATAAATTAAATAGACTGATGTAATATTATTTTTATTTTTATTTTTTATCTAAAAATATTTTTATCTTTCGTCTGAAAATACTATACTCTCATATGATATTTTTTTATTTTATTTTATTTTATCTATCTCACAAAAAACGACCTCTTTTTCTTTTTGGTAATTTATCGATTTTAAACACATTTAATAAATATATTAATTTAACTAGATTTATGGTACCTTACACGTAGGATTTAATCAAAATTTTTATTTAATACAAATAAATAATATATATATTTATTTATTATTATTATAAATCAGTTGTATAAATAAAGATAGATACAAATATTTGTTAATTAAAGAGATAGATAGAAATAAAATAGTTTTGAGTAGATGGTATGGATAAGAGGTCATAAATTTAATAAAATTAATTTATATTTATTAAGTGTATTTAAAATTAATAATAGAAAAAAAAAAGAAATCAATTGAGAGTATAATATTTTTAGACAAAAAATAAAAATGAAAGTTAAATAATTTTGGCACATAAAAAATAAAATTTAATTTTCAATATTACTAAATATACCAAATTAATGCATATATAATTAAATATATTAAATTATTCTCACACATTTTTTTTACATAATTTTTAATATATATATATATTTCACCGTCTCATAAAAATAAATATTTAATATAAAATATTATTTTATATATTACTGACATAATTCTCAGTACCACGCCATCAAAATTAAAATTTCAAATTAAAACAACAGACAAACCCTAAAAAATAAATCTTATAAGTAAATTATTAAATATAATTATAATGAACGTGGAGCTACATTCTTTATTATGCAACAGCCTCCTCCAGGCTGCAATTATTATTTCAATTTGAACACCCGCGTATTTTAGTTTGAGGCACGTCCTTGTTTGTATAAATATAGTGATATATTATTTAATTGAAATAACACGTCCATTCCGTTGAAATTTTAAAATCATAATTTATTTTTTTATAAAATTAATTTTGATAATTATTTTTGAATAAGACCAAAAATATAAAAAATATATTTAATTGAGACCAAATTTGATTTTTATTCTACAATTTTTAAAGTACAAAAAATTTATGTTAATTGTCAAATTTCAAAATATTTTCATTTCAAATAAAAGAAACCACCCAACCCATATCAATAATTCCAAAATTGATGCACCCGTACAGGTCCTTCATCTTTTGAAGTTTTGTTTTTAGGTCCATGACATTATAGTCCGGCCCAGTAGTCAATATTAAGCACAGCAATATAGTCCAATATTTTCCTCGCTCTCTCTTTCCCGCTTTCAAATTCGTTCAAAGCTGTTTGGAAGAAGGAGAAGAAGACAACCTCTGAGGCTTATTCCGTGGAGATCTTCACCGGATGCCCATGGCGGACCAGGATTCGGAGCAATTGCGGAAGTTGTCGCTCGGGATCGCCAAGGTTTTTCACGAGATTCAGACCTCCAACGCCACGCACATTCGGAAGCTCAAGGAACTCGCAGCGCTCCTCTCTTCGTCGTCGCCGATTCAATTCTGCAATGCTTTCTGCAAATCTCTAGGACCTCTTTTCGATTTCCAGTCCCGCATCGCGGTTGCCGAAAGGATAATCAAGTTCGTTTCCGTCTTTGCTTGCTCGTGCGCTGGGAAAGAGGATTGTGGAGTTGTGTTCCTGGATAATTTCCTAAGGTTTCTCCTCCTGGCTGCTGCCGCGGCGAACAAGACTGTTAGGTTTAGGGCTTGCCAGATCGTTTCTGAGGTGCGTGCTCTAGATTTCGAGTTTCTGTTTTTCTAGCCTTAAGAAAATGTCATTTCTCACTCTCTAAGGCTAATTTAAATTCGTTTCAGTAGCAAAGGTTCAAGAAAAGTATCGAGATAATTCATAGAATGTCGAATTATAATGGTTGATTTTCTGCATCTGCAAACTAATAGTTAGGGCTGGCTTTGGTGTATGGTTTATTATCAGTTACTTTCTGATTTTGTTTAGAGAGCGTTCTGACTTTCTAGTAGTTATGTGTTTGTAATACCGGTTTATTTTCCATTTCCACAATACTCTTCCCAGAATTCCTTGTTTTTACTTTTTACAGTGCATATTTGTGTGATGTAGATCATTATGCGATTACCAGATGATGCTGAAGTCAGTAGTGAACTTTGGGATGAGGTGATAGAATGCATGAAGTTACGCATGGAAGATAAGACCCCTGCAACTCGAACATTTGCGGTTAGGGCTCTTGCAAGATTTGCGACTGATTCAGAGAATGAAGACATTCTTGAACTGTTCATTGAGAAACTACAGTTGGAGCAGAACGGGGTGAGTTCTAGACCTGTTTGTGATTATTGAGTTTGAGTTTTTTTATGTGCTCTGACTGCTTGCTTTTCTACACCACAGATTGACAGAATCTAGAAACTTTTGGCATTCAAGCAATCAATAACTGCATAGTCTTTTTATTTTTATTATTTTGTTAAATCCTTAACTGCATTGCACCGGGCTATTATTGTGGTTGTTAGGAGAATTACTCATATGAGTGAGCACTTCGAAGATTTTTCAGCATTCTGAAACTTCTCACAATTAATCCCTCAACAGTTTCAACGGAAAATTCCTTGATAATTTGTAATTTGTTATTTGCATTGCCAACAGTTATTTATATCATGGTAGTTTGAGGAATTGGCTATGCCGCTGAGCACTGTGTAGATTTTCTTTCATATTAGTGTGACTGTGCAGGATGTGCGTAAGGCAATTGTGCTAGCTATGCCTCCTTCAAGTGCAACTCTGTCAGCAATAATTGATTTCACTCTCGATGTGAATGAATCAGTCCGGAAGGCAGCATACTTTGTCCTAGCTAGTAAATTTCCCCTGCAGAGTCTGAGGTAACAATCACTTACCTATGTAGCAAATTTAGTGTTCTGGTTTGGATTTCTAACTATCAATTACCTAATCCTGCACTATTTATTCTTGACTTGTGATTAATGATTTGCTATGTAGCATACTTAGTCTTCTGCGTTTGCAACTGGATAAAGTGGAATACTCCAATATGTTGGACACCGTTTATGGTTTCTATCGACAGCTTACTGAATGTGCTCATAGTTTAAATTTCGTTCTATATCACATCTCAAACACCTATTTCCTACTTAATATAATTTGCAACATCCAAGCATACTTATAATTTTAGTATCTACATGTTTCATCTTGATTTTTTTCTTTTCAGCTCCTTATTAACAGGTGATGGCTTTAGCATTTGTACTTTGATCTTCTTTAAGCTTTGCATAGAATGATTAAAAAGAAAAAAAATCCTAAACACCCCATTATACAAGAAGCTTAGGAAAAAAATATTATTTTAGAGAAGAAAAACGAAAAAAGAAAAAAAGAGGGAACTTATTTCTGCATGTATACTTTGGTGCTGCCAAGTTTCCTTTAATTATAAAATTGCATGTCGTGCAAATGGTTAGTGATACCTGATAGATGCATGATTATTTGAGCTGAAACATTACTTCAATCTTCAGATATTGAGAGCAAGCAATAACAATCCCCATGTAGTCACTCACTGCTTCAGTTTGACCTCAATGACTAGTATGTTCAAATTCAACATTTTTTATGTTGCTTGCATGGTCTTATTTCCTGTGCTCTACAGCATCAAACAAAGAACAGATATTCTTCAAAGGGGGCTTGCTGATCGTTCCACAGCAGTCGCAAAGGAGTGCATGAAGTTGATAAAAGATGAGTGGCTCGAGAAAAGCTGCAATGGAGACCCTATACAGCTGCTTAAATTTCTAGATGTTGAAACATATGAATCAGTAGGAGAATTGGTAATGACAACTCTACTGAAAGCAGGATTGGTCAAATTGCAAAATGATCAATCCATCCGGAAATTCTTTTCATCCACGGGTGAATCAGCTGAAGGTTTGTATGCTATATTACCTATACTCTAACTCGTAAGCCCTAAAAGTTAACTGAATCTTGAGGTTAGTCTTTTGTCTACTTGCATTTAATCCATATTTATATTTGTTTTGTAAAGACGCATCATGACATTGGTCAAAGTCCTGTTCGTACATTGCAATCCATTTGCCCCATGTGTTAGACACGTGCACAGAGTGTTTGAACCTCAACCTATGGCTCCTTAGGTCATTGGTCTAGTTGCAGGCGAATGGATGTGTTTGTTTTAGGTCTACCTTAGTTATCAAGTATCAACAATGTGATTCTTAAGATGCGAGGACTTAACACTCTCTTGCCTGATTATAATAGTTGCTGTCATAGTTTCAGTCATGAATTTGTTTGGTCATTGCTCTTCAATTTAAAGTTCAAAAAACTTATGGCCATCTATTTTACATCTTGTGTATAGTTATCATAAAATCGCTTTTTAGTTTGAGGCCAGTGGGAAAGTATTTACATTAATTAATATAGTGAAAGAAAAATCAACGCCATCACCGTTCCCCTTTTTGGATTATCATAGTTTGGGTCTTGCTCTTTTCATTATTATTATTATTATAGTGAGAAATCTCTAATGCTTGATTCATGCATCAGTGTATCCAAGAGATACATCACTACACTCGCGTTTTCATGATCTCATTTATACGTAAATATGCAGGACCCTGCAATAAACCTATGGAGTTAATGGATGCTGAAGTTGTTCTTTTTTGGAGAATGGTCTGTAAGCACTTGCATGAGAAAGCCCATGTAAGTAGCCAATGCGAGAAACTTGTTGGTCGCTTTTTGTCCTATTTTTAAGGTTACACTTTCTCTATCACGTCATTTATCTCATCTCTAGAAAGTGTTATAGTTGGTCCAGTTCATTTGTTGATTCTAATTCAATTGTTGAACATAAATGATTTTACTAGAATACTAGTGTACCAGTAGATTAATGAATATAGTCATATCCGTTTTATTGGACAGGAAAATTCAGTTTAAAGAAGAATCGTTAGTTGCTAAACCAATTTACATCTTCACCAGCCATTAATCATTATACTCATTTGGTAATGCTTTTTTGGAACCAAATGCCTGTGTTTTGAATGATTGATATTATAAAAAGAGGCGGTTGCAATAATGTGTTGAAATGATGTTATGAGTCCATGCATCACTCTGTTAGTCATGTTGAGTTAAAGCTACACGTAATCATATTTTAGACGATCCATAAAATGTATCCATATGTCTGAATATTTCATCCAGCGTTTTCCTTATACATGACAAGAAACTAGCCCTGTAATGCTTAATTGTTGTTAGTTGCAACTTTCATTTATGTAGATATTGACAAGATAAAGTAACATCAATCTTTTAATTTAGAGAAACTGTAGTGAGGATCTTGAACTGCCACGATCATATTTAGATATTTTTGTTTTGCTGATCAACCAGACAAAGGGCTCTGATGCTGCTATGACTACGGGTGCAGAATCAGCAGTATATGCAGCAGAAGCTTCAGACAGCAATGATCTTCTTGATAACATTCTTCCTGCTTCTTTGTTGGAATATGTCAAATTGGTTAATGCTCACATTGCTGCTGGTAGGCAAAACTTTTTAACAGACAATAACTTATGTTTAATTTAGGTCACACATTTATGTGGGCATATGATCTTGCAGGGCCAAATTACCGATTTGTCTCTAGGCAATTGTTACTTTTGGGTACGATGCTTGATTTCTCAGATGCTTCAAACAGAAAGGTGGCTAGTGAATTTGTTCAGAAGTTGTTACATATGACTGTTGATCATGAATTTGATGACCAAGGGAATGAAGTAGTGGTGGGGGATGGTTTTAATTTAGGAGGGGAGAGGGATTGGGCTGCTGCTGTAGCAGAATTGGTAAAGAAAGTCCATGCAGTCCCTGGAGAATTCGAAGAAGTTGTTCTTGGTGTGGTGGAGGAGCTTGCACGGCCATGCAGGGAGAGAACAGCTGACTATAAAGAGTGGTTGCATTGCCTTGCTGTAGTTTCGCTGCTTTTGGAGAAGACTAGTTCCTTTCGTCATATGCGTGGAAAGCCCATTGAGCCTACTGAAATTCTTCTCTCGATATTGCTTCCAGGAGTATGCTAAGAAAATCTTCGTTTCATTTAACCTGCTATATGTATGCCTCATATTATTATAACTTTACCGGTGGCTTACAAAATGCAGGCTAAGCATGCTAATTTGGATGTCCAGAGGGCTTCTCTCGGGTGCCTTGGCCTTTTTAGCTTCCTAGAAAGGGCACCAAGTGAGACTATCGTGAAGCAATTAAGAAGTTCATTTGTCTATGGCCCTCCATCTATTTCTGTTATGGCTTCTAAGGCATTACTTGACCTTGCGGTTTGGCATGGCCCTGATGAAATGGACAAAGCAATGAATTGCAATCTATCATCACTGTTGAGTGACCATAATATGGCTGCAACCAAAGTTGAGTTCTGCAGTGGAACCGAGGATCCGAATATTGAACTGCTCAGTCTGCTTTATGCCGGACTTGGGCACAATTGGGGTGGTTGTGTTGCGACCGAAGAAAACCAACCGATTCAAGAGATTCTAGGAGAGGGTCTGGCGAAGATTCTTCTGTTGAGCGAAAAGTTTCCAGGATCACTTGCTTCGATGCACCACTTGCTATTGGCTAAACTAATCATCCTTTATTTCGGTTCCGACAGCGAGCACCTTCAAAGGTCCAGCTTTTCTTACAATAATCAATAATCACCTTTGGATTGCTGGCACATATAAGTAAGTATTAACATTTGGAAGAACAACCCGTTCCTGAAATGGATGTTGGTTGTGTAGGTTGAAACAATGCCTGTCGGTCTTCTTTGAGCACTATCCATCACTTTCTGCAAATCATAAGGTTTGGGTTGATAGAATAGCACACGCTATTTTATAACTTATAGTCGGCAATGCATTGCACCTGGGTTGTATGTATTTCCTGTTAAAAGTGAAATGTAATTAATGTTGCAGATATGCCTATCAAAGGCGTTCATGCCTGTAGTCCGGTCTTTGTGGCCTGGTATCAATGGCAACGCTGCAGGATCTTCCATGATGGTGTCTAAAATGCGTAAAAGAGCCATACTGGCTTCGCAGTTTATGGTGCAGATGATGCAAGCTCCTCCTCCTCCTCTGTTAGACGAAGCCAAAGACAAAGAGAGTGAAAAGGCAGATGCAGAGAAGGATGATCCGTTGCTGGATTTTCAAAGTGGAGAGGAAGGACTTGCACTTCGCATTGCGGCTGAGGTATTGTATTGTACTGTTCAAATATTACATACCATACAATCTCAATTAATCAATCAAATTACTCACTCTCGCAGACTTAGACTGAGTGACTGACTGAGGTGATTATTTTGTGTAATGAAATGAAATGAAGGTGGTGAGCTTAGCGTTACCAGGCAAGAAGTCGGCTGCAGAAAAATCATACGCTGCTGCACTTTGTCGAGCGCTTTCATTGCTCAACTTTAGAGTGTCAGAGCAGGCGGCTATAAAGCTCATGCGAATGCTTCTAAGCCGTATGATCATATCGGTAGCTGCAAGTGAAAAAGATGTTGCGAGGGAATTGAAGCATATGAGGGAGCGGCTGCAGGGGATGGAAAAGCAGCCGGATGAGAAGCTGTCCGCTGACCAAATGCATCGGATGTTAGGTAGGTAACATGAGTGAATCAATGAAATGAAATGAGGGAAAAAGGCTAGCTTGATTCATTCTTCTCATTCTTCACTCTGCCTCTGCCTCTGCCTCTGGTGTGCTTGATTGATTTGCCGTCTGTCTGTCTGTCTGTCTATGTTTGTTTCTTCTACACTACAGGGACGCTGATGCTGGACCACCATCTATCAATGGAAGAAGACATGGACGAGGCTGCTGCTGCTAACACTCACACTCCGGTAGTAGTTCCATCAACCACATGGCGCACCAATGCTGCAAGAAAGCAGCAGCAAGCTAGGAGGAGTGAGGAAGAATCTTCATCCGACGATGAAATCTCTCCTCCCATTAATGGTGTCAACGTCGTTCCCAACACTCCTGCTCGTTCCCAAAGAGCAAGCAAGACGGCAGCGCTGACGAGAATGACGGCAACAGTCAGAATAGATGAGGACGATGACGAGGACGATGATGGGGACGTGACGTCGGAAGACGAATCCTAAGGCGTTTGTTTGACTCCAAATGGAATTTTAAATATTGTTGTTGTGTGTTGTGAATTGGTCGAGCTGCTGCTGCTGCTGCTGATCCTATCCTCTCTTATGTTATGTGAATGTGCTTTCAATTCTGAAACCTGCTCACTCTTCCTTTCTCCCTTTTCTTTCTTAAACTTCTCATGTCATGTAATACAGTTTGTAAGACTATATGCAATGCAAGAATCACAGATATTTGTGTTTCTGAGTCTTTTCTCTCGCCAAAACAAACAAGACATAAATGAGTCAAATTAAAAACTCATTAATAATTCATTTAATTTTGGGATTCGATATAATAAAAATTTATTAATTTTGATCTCAATATAAAAAATACATTAATTTTGGTTTCAATATAATCAAAATTCATCATTTTTTATGTAGAAGTTAGAGAAGAGGTGCAAATATTTAAAGGCATCGAAAAAGAAAACAATTGGAGACCCAAATGAAAAATATTAAAAGAGTTTGAGATCAAAATGTTTGTCGCATCTGTCTCCCTTATATTATCATTGTCTTCAGTGTTTGTTTTCATCAATTAAGCAATGTGTGTATATATTTATATTTTCCACCATTAAGCTTGTAGTCTTATATGTTTGGATGATGCTTTTAAAGGACACAACTAGATTGGCACGATGTTATATATATGCATCACATCCACAATATTTATGGCAACGCTAAAACATAGTCACTATAAGAAAGTTGAAATTTAGATAAAAAAAATTTTGTAGCAAAAAATAATAATTCATAGCAAAAATATTTTTGTGACGAAACTTATTTCGTCACCTATACCACGTTAGTAAAGGTCTTTGGCGATAAATATGACTTTCGTAACAAAAAAAAAAAAAAATTGCAATGAGAATTAAGAATAGAGATATAAGGTACGAAAATATGATTTCGTAGCTAAAACTCTTTTGCTATAAAATTAAAATTTATAACAAAAGAGTTTTAGTAACAAAATATGTATGATTTTTGTACCAAAATGATTTTAGTTATGAAAAATAATTCTGTAACTAAAATTTTTTTGCTATGAAGAGAGAATTTCCTAGCAAAATATTTTAGCGACTAAATTAATTTTATAGTACATAATTTACTTAGGGATGCGATGAAATTAATTTTTGTTGCTATATGAATAATTTAACTACAAAAATATTTCGTAATTAAAAATATTATAGCTAATTAAATATTTTTTATAGTTAGTTTCTTACAACCAAAACTGATATCATAGGTGGAGGGGGCTTGTCCTTGTGACTGATAGTGCTCATCCAAGCTAATAATGCATGTGCAGATTACTTGGAAGAATCATCAAATCTTGGCCAAGATGATCATTCCATCAAGAATGGTTGCACATATATCTTCCAACTTTGATGTTAGATTTCATGTTTCTAAATTGAACCAATACTTTAATTATGTAGATTCACTTTTGATTTGATCCATTTTATGGCCACAGACATTATTGAAAGCAGTTGGGTGAAATTGACCAACTGCAAAAAAAAAAAAAAAAAAAGAGTAAATTTTTGATTTTATTTACTAAAGAATATTATTAGACCGATACATGTCATCCTTGTGTTGGGTGATGGTGAGGATACAGTCTGTTATTTTTTAACTTGGAAAGCTGCCAGATTGAGTGAGACCACCAAACTCACCTAAATTAAATTGAAAATTCCATGTACAGTTGCCTAATTTGATTATCGTTTGATTAGGCAATTAAATTTTGTTCCATTTTGGGAGTCAACAGTGACCCTAAGATTTCCATTTATTTTAGTTTAATTGGGTGCATAAATCATGAAAGTCATGGAAGTTAGTTAGTTTAATCATAGATATACAAGCATGGATATATATATGTATATTAAATTAAATTCAAACTGGCGATACACCTAAATAATACCAAATTAAAAGCAAAAGAAAGGTCAAAATTGTGTGGTTTACCACCTCACTCACTATATATGCATAATAGGAGTAGCTGTTACTATTATATTATACAATTTGAAGTATATATATTCGTCAGGATTAGGAATTGAAGTACGTAGAGAGAGAGATATGGTTATATTCGTCAAATCTTGCTTCTTATGGCTGCTGCTGCTGCTGCTGCTGCTGCTTCCTCCTCCTTATTCTACTGCTGATGGTCACAGGTAGCTAGCTCTTCTCTGCAATTTCTACTATTACTTAATAACAGGATACGATACATCGAGTATATGTGATCAATTCTAATATTAGAGTCTCTCTTTTACTTGATATATATATATATATATATTTTCGTAACTCTCTATGGACAATAGATATGTATATCACCTCGTTAAAATGTTTGATATATATATATATTGTTAGTTCTTCAATACATTTTTATAATAAAAATCATAGCAATTCATGACAATATATATTTTGCAGGGTGAGTCAACAAGTTTCTCCATCTCCCGTTAGGCTCCGAATATTGGATAATCATGTAAGATTAATTCAAATGTATTAATTAATTGCCATATTTGTTTGGGATTCAATATTTAGTTGTCGATGGTTATTCACATATCTATCTATATATAATAATTAGTGTATGATTAATATTTTTTTAGGTGGAGATTGAGAATGGTATTGTAAAGCTATCATTGTTAAAGCATTGCGGGCTCGTCTCAAGCATCGGATTCAAAGGGATTGACAATGTGCTCGAATATCGTAACAAAGAGACGCGACGAGGGTGAGCCAACAAATTTAAAATAATAGCTAGATCTCTATACACACAATTATAGTTATATATCCTGAATATTATTATATTGAGTATGCATATATATATATGTATGAATATAATGCAGTTATTGGGACATCGTCTGGAGTTTCCCGGAGAAAGGCAATCACAAATTCGACACGTATGACATTTTTACTCAACAAGCTAATTAAGCTAAGAGAATCCATTAATAACTAATTAATTATTTGCTCGATTGCAAAACTCTGTTTAAATATTATTTATTTCATCCGCTTCTAAGGTCATATTTAGCTTTTACGTTGTTGTTTTTAATATTAAAAATATTCTTATATTTGAATATTTTTTTATACAACAGTCATTCCATTAGTATTATAAAACACTAATGGAGAGGTATTTTTGCAATTTTTTCTTAATTTATATTACTTTTTGATATAATTATTAATATTTAAAATCAAGACGCAAAAAGTAAATGAGACCCTTCCGGACGGAAGTAGTATTATTTTCATATGATATGATATGAATAATATATATATATATATATGTTGTGCAGGTTTGAAAGTGCAAGCTTGAGAGTAGTAGCAAATTCCAAAGATCAAGTAGAAGTATCTTTTACAAGTACATGGAACATCTCCCTTCCTCAATACACTCTCCCTCTCAACGTTGACAGGAGGTAATAATCTCAACGAATATTAAAAACATGCATGCAATATTATATTGGTAGGAAGAATATAATCAAATTAATGTATTTAGCTAGCGATATAACATTTTAATTAATTAATTAATTAATTTCCAGATTTGTAGTCCTTGGTGGGGTGTCTGGTTTTTACTCCTACGCCATATTCGAGCATTTGGAAGGATGGCCTGATTTGAACATTGATGAAGCAAGAATTGCCTTCAAACTCGATAAGAACTTGTAAGACACACACACACACATATATATGATGAATGTATGTATTGTAGATTTGAGGATTTGAAATCTCTGCATCTTATAAATTACATTAAATGAATTGAATTGAAAATTGCATGATTATTAGGTTTGATTACATGGCCATATCAGATAGTATACAAAAGATCATGCCAACCGACTACGATAGGAGGTCGGGCCAACAACTTAACTTCCCGGAAGCTGTTAGGCTAACGAATCCTGGAAACCCTAATCTCAGCGGAGAGGTAAATTAAATAAAGATTATACCAAACAAAGAGATACATATATATATATATATATATATGAATTGATGATTGTATTGTATGCATGGGGTGCAGCAGGTCGATGATAAGTATCAATACTCTTTGGAGAACAAGGATAATAGAGTACAGGGATGGATAAGCTCCGATAAGCATGTGGGTTTTTGGATGATAACTCCGAGTGATGAGTTTCGCGCGGGGGGACCTGTCAAGCAAGATCTCACATCTCACACTGGCCCAACTTGCTTAAACGTAACTATTCTATTCTATTCTATATGCTATTATGCATATAAAAATATTCATGGACCAGGGTGGACAGGTGTTCTTTAGCGGGCATTATGCTGGGTCCGAATTTGGGATCCGACTTCGTGGAGGAGAGGCATGGAAGAAGGTGTTCGGACCCGTATTCATATACCTCAATTCGGATTCAACTAACAACGCCAGTACTAGTCTACTTTGGAATGATGCTAAAACACAGGTACATACAAATCTATATTTAATATTTATTAGGCAATACAAAAGCTATATTCATATATATATAGCTAGTTTGTCTAATTAGACCCAATCCAACCCGATCCGAATATCCTCCATTGTAGATGTTGGAAGAGAGCCGAAAATGGCCTTATGATTTCCCCTTGTCTGGAGAGTTTCCTGGAGCGCAGCAGCGCGGCGCAATCAAAGGTCGACTGTTAGTTCGCGACAGGTACATCAGTCAGAGGCTTCTGTTGGCTAAAAATGCATACGTCGGGTTGGCTGCTCCGGGACACATCGGCTCATGGCAACATCAGGCTAAGGTGGTCACTCATCATCAAATTATTTAATAACATCGATCTTGACCATCATGTGTTGTGTTTTCATTCATTCTTTTAGGGATATCAATTTTGGACACAAACTGATGAATTCGGCTACTTCACAATTCGAGCCATTCGAGCGAACACTTACAACTTGTATGCTTGGGTTCCCGGCATCATGGGAGACTATAAACTCGGCATCGACATTATCATTAGCCCAGGTGCGTGCTAGACTGTTTATATATATAATACAATCGGTCCTATAAATAATGATCGATACACTTGGTATCGTATATCATTTAGCTCGACTTATATATAGCTACTCCAAACATTATTGTTTGCTTGTTCGCAATTCGTATTGATCTACTTTATATACATATGTGTACTTTAGTCCATTTTAATTAATTTAGAAAAAATTATTCATAATCCACTAGCAGTTTGAAAGATTTGGATCTCTCTCATTATTTAAATTTTGCATAAAACTCCATCTTATGTTTGAAAAAATATGCACAAAATCTAGTTTTAGGAGGGGTTTATAGACAATATTTTAAAAAACATTTAAAGAATTTCGTACAATTTTTTTAGATATCACAATATTTTCTAAAACACGAAAAAGCCTACGCGATTCCTAAATAACCGAAAAAAAAATGAATGTAGGCTTTTTAAAACACGAGTAGGATATGAACAATTTTTCTATTAATTTATACATGACTCTGTTTTTTGATCGGATTAATCTATACTTGACTTTTTATTTTTTGATCGGAATATACATGACTTTTTTTTTTTTGATTGGACGGAATATACATGACTTTTAATTATATGTATTGTGCACACTGTTATAGGCACCCAAGTTCACATGGGAGATCTTATTTATGATCCCCCGAGAAACGGTCCAACATTATGGGAAATCGGGATACCTGATCGTAGTGCAGCCGAATTCTTCATACCCGATCCATCCCCTAGTCTAGCAAATAAGCTATACTTGGGTGGTGATGAAAAGTACCGGCAATACGGATTATGGGATCGATATACTGACTTATATCCTACCCATGATCTAGTTTACACAATTGGAGTCAGCGACTATCGCAAAGATTGGTTCTTTGCTCATGTAAACCGGTAATGCTATCCTTAATTATCTCCCGGCTCTAGTTAATGCTTACCCAATTTTACTTAAAGAAACAAATACATATATAATTTTCAGGAAAGTAAGAAATCACAGTTATACACCAACGACATGGCAGATTAAGTTCGATTTAAGAAATGTGAATGCAAATGGGACTTATACACTTCGATTGGCATTGGCTTCGGCTAACTTTGCAGAGATTCAAGTACGTAAGTTTGTGTTATATATATATATATATATATCTAGTTTGGTTGTCTTGGATTAACTTATATATATATAATTAGGTTGGGATCAACAAGAACATCGATGGAGAAGCAGTAGATTTTAGGACAGGAAGGATAGGGAGAGACAATGCAATTGCAAGGCATGGCATCCATGGGCTATATTGGTTGTTTGGTGTGGATATAGCTGGGCATCAACTCTTCAATGGCAGAAATACAATATATTTAAAGCAATCAAGAAGCAATAATGGACCCTTCATCAATGTCATGTACGACTACATTCGCCTCGAAGGACCTCCTCGACCTTACTATTGATCGATCCATCTATCTCTATATATTAACCATGCATGCATCTCTCTCTCTCTCTCCCTCCAAATTAATTCATATATTACCAAGTAGCTAAGCTAGCTACATGGATTAGAACAAGTCTAGGGTTTTGTCTTTTTCTTATTTATTTATTTATCCTAATCAAGAAATCAGTAATTTTGTTCAGTCATCTCTATCGAGTCTTTCTTGGTGAGACAATCCTCACATTCATAACGTTGAAATGTAAAATTGTTGTGAAAATGACTTGGAATGGCATAAATATACACTTAGTTGTGATATTAGCATAGGAATGACCAATAAAATATTATTATATTTACAGCTAACCACTATTTTATATATTATATGTAATCGAGTGTACTACAATATACCACTATATATTTTATATGTTATATATAACCGAGTGTACTAGCATTCATGTGTATATATATATATGTGACGTGATGTGTGTGTATAATATATTGTATATGTATAAATATATTCCATTCGTACCATTTGAAATGACTCATTTTATTTGGAACACATTGTTTAATTAATTAATAATATTGGATTATGTTATTGTTTTATTATGCTTTTTATATAAATAGCATTGTTAGTAATTATAAAATAAGATTTAATATATATAATCAAAATAAATTTGAAATATGTATTTAAATAGTTTAAATGTTATATTTCAATAAAATATATGCAATATGGATATTATTTTGTAGATAATAAAATATTAAATAATACAAATAAATAAAGATATATATATATATATATTTATAATTAAGATAAATTGATTTTGTAATAAGGATGGACTTTTAAATATAGATAAAAATATTTGTTTATTGACGAGAGAGATAAAAATAAATAGGTTTTGAGTGAGTTTAACGTGATGTGTGATGTTATATATTATAAAATTAATTAAGTTGATTTATATTTGTTAAGTACATTTAGATTTAGGAAACTTTACAAAAAAAAAAATAGCAACGTGGTAATTAAATGACAGACAAAAAATGAAATGAAAACAATTTAAATGGACGGATCTATATATATATATACATATGCTTACATATTATGGATGAAGATGTATGTATGTTGTGTGCAACTGTGAATACATGAAATACAATTAATGTGAAGTAGGATTAAGATAAGAATGTAGACGAAGAACCTTTGATGCCAAGTAAAGATCCAGTCATATTTATAGAGAACACATACAATGAAATTATGGCTTTGAATATGCCGCCATTTGAACAATGCTATGTAAAAACCATCCACATAATCTACACGCACTTGTTTTGCATATAAAACTTTCCTTTGGATTTTTTTTATACAAAAAATGCGTCTCGTTAAAACCTTAATATAAAAAAAAATATGGGAAAAAAATTATTATTTTTTTAAAAAATAGTACAACATTCTTGTGTTTATTTGCTTCCCCTGACCTGAGCATTATTTGAGATCTCTTAAACAACATATTCCAATTCTTTTTTACCAAATTTTCATATGTTCTAGTTGATATTGCCCTGGTTAATATATCCGCTATATTATCTAATTGAATTTGTTGCACATCAATTTTACTATTCTTTTGGAGATAATGAGTAAAAAATAATTTTGGTAAAATATGTTTTGTTCTATCTCATTTAATGTAAAACCCTTTTAATTGGGTTATACAAGTCGTATTATACAGTGTAGTTGGGGAAATTTTATCTTCAGATCCATAGTTTTTCAGAATATGTTGAATCATTGACCTCAATCAAACACATTCTTGACTAGTTTCATGTATTGCCAATATTTCATCATAATTTGAAGAAGTGGCAGTTCAAGTTTGTTTCATCGATCTCTAAGAGACCACAGTTTTGCCACAAGTAAATATTTAGCAAGTTTGAGACTTGACTTTATTAGGATCATATAAATATCCTGCATCAGCAAAACTAATTAATTAATATTGAGAATCTTTCGAGTAAAATAACTCGAGATCAATTATTTTTTAGAGATAGCAAAAAAAATATGCTTAATCTCATTCCAATGTCGTCAAGTAGGCAATGAAATAAATCCTGTCAATAAATTTATAGAAAATGGTATGTCGGGTCGGGTGTTGTTGGCACGATATATCAATGCGCCTATAATACTCAAATATGACACTTCAGGGTCAAGTGTTTCTTCATTTTCTTCTTTGGTTAAATATATCCTTTACTGGATAGAATGCTTTGACGATCATTGGAGTACTTAGTAGATGTGATTTATCCATTAGAAATGATTTCAGTACCCTTTTGGTAATTTGATTGGTGGATAAAAACTTCACTTTCTAAGTGCTCAATTTGCAAACCAACGCAAAATTTGGTTTTCCAAAAATCTTTAATCTCAAACTCATTTTTCAGATATTCAACAGCTTTCTAGATTTCATCAAAGTTTTGATTAAATTGAGATTATCGACATATACAGTGATGATTACAAATTTTGACTCATTTTTCTTTATAAAAACACGTTGACAAATAGGTTCATTTATGTAACTTTCTTTTGTTAGGCTTTTGCTGAGGCAATTGTACTATATTCTGTATGATAGCTTGAGCCCATACAAAGATTTTATCAAATTTGATGGAATGTGATTTCTTTGGCTTTTATTTGGATGATTCAGGCATGTTAAACCCTTTTGAAATTTTCATATAGATAGTATTGTCTAAGGAACCGTAAAGAAAGGTAGTAACCACGCGCATATCAAGATTATTGTATATTGCTAAGCTCACCAGATACATTAATGTTATTCTATCCATGACCGGCGAATATATTTCTTCAAAATCAATGTCCGGTCTTTGAGAAAAACCTTTGTGCTACAAGCCTAGGTTTATATATTGTGATATTATTATTTTCATTTTTTTTCTCACAAACACCCATCTGTAGCCATTCGGTTTTACATTTTCAGGTGTTTGGAATATGGGCTGAATACTTGTTGTTTATTCAATGAGTTAGTTCAGACTAAATTGCGTTTTTTTATTTTGGTCATCTATTTTCCGACATTCATCAACTGACTTTGGTTCATAATCCTCGTTATCCTTCATCAATAAGCACTAAAGAATATGCAAAAACATTATCAACATTTGTTTTCTTTCAGTTCCAATATTTTCCGCTGCTGGTATAGTTAATTGAAGTTTCAATGACTTCATTAGCACTTTTACCAGAATTTTTAATATCAACCTCTTTAGGGGTTGTACTGATTTTTTCAGATATCTTATCATTATTGATCTATTCACCAGTACTTATAATTTTCTTCTTTTGTCAATATTTATCCTTAAAACCCAATGGTGTGCCACATTTTATACGGTCAGTATGTTCTTAGCATTCGGCACTTTATCTTATGAGATATTTATTTTAGTTGGTTCATTTTTTACTGCAATATGTGATTTCATGACTTTAGAAGCATCATTAAAATTATCAAGCAATTGGTTTGCAATTTTATGCAAATGCATAATTCATTGAAAGAGTTGGCGTGAAACTTTGCTCTTTAAAAGAGCAAAAAAAGATAGAGTATTGTCCTTATTAAGCGACGTCAAAGAGTCTATCAAAATGTTATCACCCAAATTCCTAAAGTCAAGGATGAACTCGCCGCCATAGAGAATGTCCCTGAGCTAGACGAAGAATACTTAAAAAGTTTAAAAGAGTTGTTGGGCATTAACAAAAAAGAGTTGTATAATCTTGACGTTTAAGATCAATTTGTACTCTTCATTTTGATTGCCGATTAATAAATTTAATTTTTTTTAACTCTCTTTTTGCAAGTTATATTTATATTTATTTACATAATTTTTTTTTAATTTTTTTTACAAGTTAATTTTTTTCAAATCAGTTTTTTTTGGATTTTTCTCAAATCAAAATTTTTGCAAGTCAAAATTATTTTTTTTCGGGCATTTTACCCAAATTATTTATTTATTTTGATTTCCATTTTTTTTTTTTGCATTTCAAAATTTTTTTTCCTGGCCCTTTATATAGATATATATTTTACATTTGACTGAACGTGAAGTTATATTTCAAGCTGCCTATGTACCCGGTAAAATGATCAAATCATAATGTAGTTCAAAGCAACTTGAATTTGCTTTTATTATTATTTTATAGTTTATTCTCATGCTAAAGAATCTCGATTTGATGTGAAGGTCTCATGCATAATATCTTTTGAGAAACCTCCCGTTGATTGGCCCTATCCGGAGTCCATCATGAGATGTCAACTTATATGTGTCATTTGTATAGACCTCAGTGACGACATATGGTCCATTCCACTTGTATAAAAATTTATTTCCCGAATGAAAGTTGATCACAATAGGCCTTCTCACAGCAAGAACCAAGTCCCCGATTTGGAAGGATCATAATTTGACCTTTTTATTGAAGGCTCGAGACAAACGCGCTTGATAACACTCCAATCTTTGTTGAGCTTGTAACTTTTTCTCGTCGAGAGCCTCTAGCTCCTTGACTTTCTGAAGAGCAATCCTTAGTCGGACATTTGGAGAAGTAGTTTGTTGCAGCCAAGATATAGAGATCTCCAGCAGAGGACTTTGTGAGTGGTCCTACGACATCCATGCCCCATGTATCGAATGACCACTAAGCAATGGTTTGTTGCAATAGTTCTGGTGGTTGATTGATAAAATTAGCATAAAATTGACATGGTTGACATCTTTGTGCAAACTCTATATAGTTTTTAACTATGGCTGGTCAATAGTACCCCATTCTTTTTATTTGGAAGTGTAGCTTTGGGCCAACTTGATGAGCTCCATAAATTCCTACAAGAGTTTCCTCCATAGCTTGTTTGGCTTTATGATTGTCAAGGCATCGAAGGAACATATTGTTGAATGACCGACAATAGAATATGCCGTTGAAGTAGACATAGCGTGCAGCTCTTCTTCGAATATCTGCTCGTTTACGTGGGTCGATAGGGAGTTTGTCATATTTTAAGTAATCCAAGATTGGTTGTCGTCAATCTTCTTCTTCAATTTCAAACACCTCGATGAGGTGGTTAACTTCTTCTTAACACATTTCTCTTCTTTATAGTTGTAAGAGTTCACCCTAACTTTGTGTATCGGGATATACACTTGTTGATCTGGGATGGATAGAGTTGATGCTAATTTGGCCAGAACGTCAGCTTGTCCATTCTCTTTCCTTGGAATATATTCAATAGACACTTCCCCGAGCCACCCAATGAGTGTCTTAGCATACTTTAAGTAAGACAACAATTCTGGTTTCTTTACTTCAAACTCTCCGGCGATTTGATTTATGACCAGCTTTGAGTCTCCATATACTTGAAACTGGTGTTGCTTGATGTTGACTGCCATTTTTAGGCCGAGGATGAGCATTTGATACTCAGCCACATTATTTGAACACTTTTCCTTTAAGGCAAAGGAATATGAAATGACTTCTCTTTGTGATGTGACGAATATTACTCCGGCTCCAGCTCTATTTTTGTGTGATGAGCCGTCAAAATACATATTCCATGGTGGGGTGATTTCGAGAAAAAGTGCGTCTTCATCAGGAAAGTCGTTAAATAACTCCCACTTAGCGGGGATGAGATGATCATCAAGGAAGTCAACCAATATTTGTCCTTTTACAGTTTTATGTGGTACATAGATGATTTTAAATTGTTGCAGCTGCAGGTACCACCTTGCGAGTCGATTAGAAAGCACAGGATTTGACATAACATATTTTAAGGGATTTTCTTTGGGCACCAGCCGAATAGTTTGCGCTTGGAAGTAATGCTTCAACTTTGTTATGGCAAAGATGAGCGCCAAGCATATCTTCTCTACCAGTGAATAATTTAATTCATTTGGTGTCATCATTCTACTGAGATAGTCGAGGACATTTTTTCCCTTTATTGGCTTCCTAGGTCCGACTGAATGTTCTTGTGCAGCACTGTAAAGTGTCAATGGATGTCCGTGAATTGGCGCTATCAGCAGTGGTGGCTTCGTCAAGTAGTCTTTGATACTTTGGAATGTCTTGTTGCATGCTTCATCTCAATGAAAAGGCACTCATTTCATCATGATTCGGCTGAAAGGTTGACATCGTCCGGCGAGGTTAGAGATAAATCTTCTTATGTATGCCAATTTCCCTTGTAACATTTTTAGCTCGTGGATGTTGCGAAGTTCGGGCATTTTCGTGATGGTATCTATCTTTGCCTGTTCAATCTCTATTCTAGGGCTACGGACAACGAATCCAAGAAATTTTCCAGAGGTAACTCCAAATGCACACTTGAATCATTCTTTTTTAATGGGTAACACCTCACTTTTTCAAAAACTTCTCTTAAGTCTTGCAGGTGATCCTCTTTTTTCTTGAATTTGACAACCAAGTCATCGACATAACACTCTACATTTTTGTGTAGCAGGTCATCAAAGATCTTTTGCATTGCTCTTTGATAAGTTGTCCCCGCATTCTTCAATCCGAAAGGCACAACTTTGTAGCAGTAGATACCTTTCAGTGTACGAAAGACGGTTAACTCTTCGTCTTCAGGTGCCATGCGAATTTGGTTATATCCAGATGATCCATCCATGAAAGATGAAGTCGCATCAATCATCAATTCAGTTATGGGTAAAGGAAAATCATCTTTAGAGCACGCTTCATTTAAGTCCCAGTCAATTCAGTTATGGGTAAAGGAAAATCATCTTTAGGGCATGCTTCATTTAAGTCCCAGAAATCTACACAAACTCGGATTTATCTATTCTTTTTCTTTACAAGCACAATGTTGGAAATCCATTGGCGTTATTTGGCTTCACTTCAATGAGTTTGTTGACTTCATTTTCAATTTGAAGGATGAGTTCAGGACAGAATCTTCGTTGTGCTTGCTTCACAGAGCGGGCTCCCTTCCTCACACCTAGATGGTGGACCGCAACATTGGGGTCTAAGCCGAACATTTCTTTATATGATCAAGTGAAGACATCTTGGAACTCATTGAGAAGTCGGGTGTAGGCATTCATATCATCTTCACAAAGCTCTTCGCTGACGTAGACGGGTCTTGGGTGATCTTCAACTCCCAAGTCGATTTATTTTAACTCGTTCACTGCAGCTTTGACCCCTTCTTCAAGAGCGGCGGGTGCCTTTTCTGCATCTTCTTCAAATATCGTCTCTTCACCCCCTTCAGTGATGTAGTAGGATGAGGCAACACTTTCTTCGTTATCTTCTTTGGATTTGGTAAAAATAAGGTTTGACATTCAGCCTTTAAAACTTTACCGCAGTGTATCATCATTTTTGTCTAACGAGTCATGCGGGATAGGATGAGGCTTTTGATTTCTCCATCAATCTCCACATATTTTGTATATGTAGAATTCTTTTTGTTATTTTCTTTATTGCTCTTCGGCCCTAACCTCGTGTTAGACATAAGGTTTTAGCTTCTTGAAGACCGAAAATCTTGCATTCTTGCCTTTTTGAGGTGCCTTTGTCACATTTGCTATGGTCCGAGATACCGCTCTAATCCTTCCCACGAATGTTAATGCATGTATCCTCCACGAAGTAGTTAACATGAAGCCCATCGGCTGGAAGTATAAAACTGTACGTAATTTATTCTTTTAATTACTTTTTTCTTGACATCAAATTTAGTTAATTGGGAAATGGTAAAAATTACTTTTTTTCTTGACATCAAATTTAGTTAATTGGAAAATGGTAAAAAAAATAAACAACATCGCTTTTCATTGCAGCTGATTTGCCACCCTTGGGTGCCTCCCAAAAAATTGCAGGAACAAAAACCATTTTTGTTATTTTTTTTGAATTGAAACAAAAAGTTTTGCAATCAGTAGAAAATTATTACAATTTTGTTATTATAACCAAATTTCATAATAAATATTTATTCTACCGGAGTTTGAAGTATTTATTGCGTTAAAAATGTGTAACAAAAGGTTATTATTACAATTAAGGACAATTCTACTAACTTTTTTTAATGGATAATTTCATTACAAAATATAATTTGAATCCAGATTAATTTTACTACGTGCATTAGAGACGTTGACCATTAGTCTTTTATTATGGTATTATGGAGAGTTCCGTCAACAAAATTTTTTGTTATTCAATTTTTTATATCGGTCAAATTTTGTTACAAAATCAACAGAAAAAAAGCTTCTTTTGTCGAAAAAAAAGCATTTATAGGAATTTTTTCCCCACTAACCTCGTTTCTGGCAACGGTAGCTCAGCACCACATGCTTGTTGATATAAGAATGAAGTGCTTTCATCATTCTAGATTAAAAACGCTTGTTGTTTTCATAATGACTGGAATAAGTATAAATCAGCAAAGGATAGCACATAATAAAGTTAGATATAACGCAGCTTGTTGTGCTGACGAGATCTCGGACGCTTGACTCCAACACCATCCGGGACACCTACCCATATTACGGCTTCTAAGTACCATGTTGATTTCACCTGCTTTTAACCCGTTTGAATGCTATTCTATCCACCGCCCATATATATATATAACATTTATACAATTCTTATTGCCTCAATCAATTCAAAGCTACTAATCGGTTTCCCTCTTTAATTATTGTTATCACTAAGAAATTGGAATGTAGTCGCGGTTAGGTTCATACCAAAAAAATAAAAAAACGTATTGAAAAAGACGTGTAACATCATCATAAACACACAATACACATTATGAAAATCTTATTGTGTTAAAGTACATGATCGCGGACGTTTAAAAAATAAAACAATTTTAAATAATGGAAATTAAAATCACATGAAATCCAAAATCAATCAGCATTCAACAATTTGTCTCCTTGTGTTTTAGTTTTAGCTTTTGATTTAAATAATAGCTTAGACACTCTTATAAAACTAATAATAATAATATATTTTTACGAAAAACCTAACCTATACAGTAAAAAGCTGAAATAAAAAGTAATCAAAGTACAAAAGTGTTAAACTTGCAAATGCGATGGAGTAATACAGCGGGGTTTGGCTTTATAAGATGTCGAGTATTGCTGGAACTCAGCTCAGTTAATTAACGAAGCAATGTTTGAAAAAAAACCAATAAATGAATAATTATTTATTGCAGAACTAACCTTGAATTGCAGTTGGAGTTGGAGTTGTTTTGTTAAACCAGCAAGCGGCCGCAAGCCTTGTTCGAATGGTGAAAACTACGCATGTGTAAGTTCCACACAAGGCTATGAGTAGCACACCCACGTATACGCAAACTGTGGTCGCACAAACATACAAATACCTATAAATGAATTATTGAAGTTAGTACTTACTTCACAGCACAATATGAAATCTATCTAGGTATCATGCCTTACTTTGGAGAGAAGACACTCCAAATGAACAAATGGTTCCGCATTATAAGGAGCATGATTGCATATGCAAGAAGAATAATGGAGTTCAAGATGAGCAAAACCAGACAAGGATAGCCAAGGGTTGACTTCATAACACGTCCGTAATTATTAATACTATCTTGGGGATTTGACAGTATATCCCTCCTGGAAATATTCATCAACATGCTGACGAGCGCCAGCATTGGGGAAGCATATGTGATCATGAACATTAAAATGCCGGAAATAATAGTCGAGTGGCTTGAAACACCCTGAGATGAGAAGAGAAGACAAGAGAATTTGTGGGAGAATCATATATATATGTATATATATATATGTGTGTGTGTGTGAGTAGAATGTTATAATAATCGATTGGAACAAGTATTACAGAGAAACTAAAATATTAACAACATATTGGTACAAACAAATTAAGACTAGAAGACTAGACTACACATACCATGAAAGCCCCAGCAACATCAATGGTAGCAAGAGTGTTGGTATTTCCAAGTCCATAATGCCCTGCCATTCCCAAATAGTATAGTGCAGCAACCTAAAACAGACATCACCCGGAATAGTAGTTATTACCAAACCAGATAAAAACAAAACCTGTAAAACCATCTGTTTTAATGATATAGAAGAATGAATACAATACAAGGGACTGGATCTGACTTTCTGCAAATTTAATTTCAGGAATTGATCTTCAGCCAAAACAACTAAGTAAATGTCAGCAATATTGGTAGTTGAATGCACCTTAACCCACTGTTTGATACATAGGTAGTCGTCCCCATCAGAAAAACAGCAGATGCTGGCAAGGATTTCGACCAGGATTAAACACCCAGGTATTGAATTTATTGGTTGCTGCAGCAGCATCTGGAGTAGACACCATGAGAATACACAACTCCAGCCAATCAAATAAAGAGAATCTCTAAACCCGCATAACAGGTCACTGGATAAGTTGAAGTCAACTAGACTGGCTTCAAGATTCCGGAAAGGCATCAACCATGGTGTGGCAACAAGAATCCCCACAGTAGAACTTCCGATAAGTGCATAAATGATTTGTATCATTGTAGTACTGCCAATACTCAATGACGTGAGTGTGTTATCATGAAATTTCATAGTCCATCTCAGAATCATCAGCGTAGGAAACAAGTAAAACAGCGCTAGGAGGACCACTGCTTTTCTCTTGAAATGCAAAGTCAGAAGAGCAGCTACACAGAAAACAAAAACAAGAATAATGGATAGCACCTGCAGGGACTTTGTAAGGGTAGGTCCTGCCTGCTCGAGCAATTTTGAAATATCAGGAAGATAAGTCCAGTTGACACCACCTTGATGCCAGCCTCTAAGTACCCTGCCAGATATGAGAACTGCAACGATCAAATATACATAACGAGATCTTCTATCCGTTTGTTCCACAGTCGAGTTGAGTGCACCACCATTTGCAATGGAACATATTGTTTTTCTGAGTAGTATGAAATACAATGAAGACGTCATAAAATGCCAAATGTATTGTTCTTCCTCAATCATAGAAGTTGAAGCCATACTTAAAACAAGGATTATTATTACAGCCACGCAAAAGATATCCTCCATATGCCACTGCATAGTGCTGTTGTTGTTATGAGAGAGGTGACGACTTTCCATTAAGTGAACTTCTTGCGCGAGGAAGGAAAGGAGGTATATTAGCCCCAAACAGGACACAAACATTGCGACAATTCCAAATAGAAGCATCGCAATGGGTTTCTGTGTACGGTCCAGATGAGAACAAAGACGGTGAAGTGTTATTTCTCTTTTATGACAATTATAAAACAATCATATATTGAATGACAATATACACATACATTAGTTGATCTGCTTGATAACCACTGGCTGGCAGGCCTAAGGAAATTTTGGTATGCTGAAACCGTGCTCTTGAAATGGTCTCCATCAGAAGATCTATTCAATAGATCAAGAACTCAAAATGCATAAGTATTCCTTCTCTGGTAATTTTTGCAAATTTGATGAGTGATAAAGAAGATTAACAACCTCGAGGAATTCTTTGACTTCCAGGATTCATGAACAGTGGCAGCATCTAGATACAAGCAACAAAATATTTCCGCACCACCGTCACTTTTTCGTGCTCCACTTCCAGGTTCACATGAGGATCTCCCACATTCAAATTCATCCAGTTGTGTCCGAAGCAGCAATAGCAGTTGCCAAGAATTCAGCTCCAGTATCCTCAGCAGCTGTCCATCTGCTTTATGAGCAAAATACAACATTATGCATTTCAACAACAATAAAATTGTTGCTCACTATCAATTAGGCAACATGATGGGAATCCTTTTATTGCAAGGATAGTAAATTTTCTTTCTCGGTAGACAGGAAGCAGTTGGCTTTTAATATCAGCAATACATGTAAAACTTCAATCTAATGTGCATTGTCATAATCTAAGTGATATATATATATATATACAATGAATGTACTGTATCAAAGTGAAATTCATCAATATAAAAATTGCCAAAAACAAACACTTGCACAAGAGGTAGGGATAGACATAGAAGAATATCATGAATATAACTCCATATATAATTAACCTTCTAGAGATGAAAAAACTTCTGACATCACCATGCCAATGTTGTTTTTGGGAATTGGCACGCCAAATAGGAGAGAAAGTGTCGGAGTAATATCCACCTAGAAACCAGAATAAGTCAAAAAGTTGTTTAAACTGATTTTGAACTTTCCATCATTAAATATAACAAGGAAAATAAGTTCAATAATATATATATATATATATATACATGGTGAAGGTTTCAATATGCACTTAAGGAAATTGTATAAGGTTTGATAAGTATATTGGTCAATCATCAATGGACATGAAGCGTTGTCATTCTTGGCCAATATTATAAAGGAAAATGATTTCATTAAAAAGGCCAAATGAGAAGAGAAGTTTCTAAACAAGTAGTCTAAGGTTTGACTGGGATATTGGTCAATAGACATGACAATTTTAGCCTTCTCATTCCCGATCAGAGTTAGTTGGAGGAACATGGAGGCAGCAGCCAACTGCAATAAACTGCAGACGCCAATGACCATCAATGTACTGGAAGGTTTAAATTTACATAAAAAAAAAAGACATCAAAATTAGGATGATAAAAGAAGATGTACATGCAGATATGTAGAGTCAGAGGCATATACCAACCAAACAACTACAAATTCATAAGAATGCGATCAACAGTAGAAAATATTTAAATCTTTTGATTAATGTTCCCAGTACTAAATGCATATTAAGTAAAAAGTAAGCTGACAGCATATAATATCTATTAAGTAGTTGTCCTTACAGAAGACAAAGGTAAGTTGCAAGCCAAAACAAATGCATTCAAATGGCACACAGCTTTGATGGGATAAATCGTAGACTATGCCTTCATTTGGAAAAAAAAAAAAAGAGAAGGGAGTATGTAGAGAAATAAGTGGGGGAAATGATAGAGAACAAGTAAATAGACAAGGACTGCAAGAAGACAATGAGCTGGATCTGCAACGTGGAGAACCCCTCCGTCGTTTGCCGGTGTACCGCTGACGCCAACGAAATTAATTTAGGACCTGAATCATCTTAAAGCCTTAATTGCTCTCTTTATTACCCTTAGAGAGATTTAGGGGCTTAAATAAGTCTAAGTAATCAATAAGCATTGATGAAGAAATAACTAGGGGATTAGATTATAAATAACATTGATGAAGGAAGATTGGAAAAGGAAGATCTAATATTAATATATATATATATATATGTATTGTGATAGAGGAGAGGGGAAGATTGACATGAGATTTGAGCCATAGGCTGGAATAAAACAGTAATTTCAGATTTCTCAAAAAATTAATCTACCAATTTGGTCTGCTCTGCTGGATCCCATACCGCGGTCGGCATCACCATGACCCGATCCACCATCGATCAACAAATGGAGAAATTAGAGCTTGATCAGGCTGATCTAAGAGGAGAATTGCAAGCTACGAATGTGAAATTGAATTCTATTACTGCGACGCCGGATAAATTGGCACAGTCAATGTTAGCGGCTCATCCACTACCATCGAAATCACCAGAGAAGACCATGGAAAAAGGGGAAAATTCAAATAAACCTCTTGTGGTGGATCAACCAGATCACTATCAAGGCCAGGTTACGCCAACCCTAGCATTGCCAGCTTTTGAAGGGACCGATCCGATAGGTTGGTTGGCCCGAGCCAACCAACACTTGGAAATTCATCAAACCCGACCTGATTTGAAAGTGCCGTCGGCTTTGGTGGCTATGGAGGGTGCTGCCTTGTATTGGTTCTCTTGGATGCATTCTCGAAAGCCTAACATTACATGGGAGGAACTGTCACAAGCTCTTACGGATCGCTTTGACACAGTTTAAAAGGAGTCCTTACGAGCAGCTTGCCAACAAAAACAAACAGGGAGTATCGAAAAGTATGTCACGCTCTTTGTCCAACTAGCGAGTCAAGTTCCTGGACTAGGCGATGCCCACTACTTGGGCTATTTCATGAAAGGATTGCGAGACACCATTCGTAGTTCCCTGCGACTTCTACACCCAATCAATTAGGAGGCTGCCATAGAACTAGCGCGGGATGTCGAAGACAATTTAATTGTGCAAGCCGGGGGGCGAGTTGAACGTGGCAGAAATAACATAATGGGTCGCCCTAACACCTACAGTAGGCTAGGTGGGACGGCAGGAGTTTCTGTGCAAGGAGTTACTAGAAGTCAGAGTTCTGTAGGAAACAGTGCTCATGCTCGACCATTCGATCGTTCAGGAGCGCCTCGATTGATGGGAACAGGAAAATCTGCGAATCAAGCTCGATTCACTCGCCTCTCTTCACAAGGATTTTCTGATCTCCAAGCTAAAGGCCTTATACGCCAGGCCATGATTGTCCACTGAAACAACTACGAGTGATGATGATAGAAGAGTACGAATTGTTCGATGTCAATTTATTGAAATCCACAGCCCCGCTCGAGGATGCACAACAATAGGAAGAACAAAGTGAGGAAGTAACCTTACCAGCTTATTCCATGGCAGGATTCTCGAGTCCGCGCACTATGCGGCTTCAAGGAACTACTATGGGTGTGTTTGTTTGGGGAATTGGATTTCATTTTCACTATTCATCCTATTTTTTCCCCCCCAAAACATCAAATTAAACACCTATTTTTCATTTTATACATTATGCTAAAAATCAATTTTACATTCAAAACATCACATCAACACCTATTTATATCACATCACACAACTATTTGAATTCAAAATTTTTACTATTCAAATCCCAACTCAAAATCCAAACCCCCAAACAAACACACCCTATGGGTCATAACGTAACGGTGCTAATCGAGAGTGGGGCAAGCCACAACTTTATTTCAGCAGCCTTGATGTCAACCCTCAGCTTAATTCCGAAGGCAACATGCAAGTTTGGGGTTCAATTGGGTGATGGGAGGCGTCAAAATTCAGAGGGACTGTGCAGAGGACTATTAATTTCGCTGAAGGCATGCGAGGTAAAAACTGACTTTTATATCTTTCCCTTGGGTGGTTTTGACATCATTTTAGGTGTAGTATGGCTAGCCACGTTAGGCAGGGTTCGAACGAATTGGGAGGCGATGACTATGTCGTTCAAGTGGAAGGATAATCAGGTGATCTTGCGGGGAGACCCGGCAATGAGTAAGGCGTCGGTTGGCCTATGTACATTACGTCGCACCCGGGATGGGGATTTTTGGGCAGTGATGTTGGAGGAGGAATGCCCCCGGCTACACATATCAATGGAGGGGGAGTCCAGCAGGTGCTACGACAATTGAATGAGGTATTTGGAGAGCTTGAGGGCCTACTGCTTCGGCACCATACAGACCATCGCATCATATTGACATCTGGAACAGCCCTGTATCGGTCCGCCCTTACCGGTATGGTCATGTACTGAAGGATGAAATCAAAAAACTAGTGGCAGATATGCTACTAGCAGGAATTATTCGGCGAAATTCAAGCCCATTCTTTAACCCAGTGCTACTAGTGAAAAAGAAGATCAAAGTTGACGATTTTGCGTGGATCATAGAGAATTGAATAAGGTGACAATTCCAGATAGATATCCAATTTCAATCATTCAAGAGATGCTCGATGAACTTGCAGGGGTGCGAGCTGGTCCGGATAGTGGAAAAAGATAGTAGCCAAGACAGCCTTTCGAACCCATAGTGGTCATTACAAATTCTTCGTAATGCCCTTTGGGCTTACAAACATCCGGCGACTTTTCAGTCTACTATGAACGACTTATTTCAATCCTTCCTACGTAGGTTTGTTCTTGTGTTCTTTGATGATATCTTAATCTATAGCCGAAACTTAACAGAACATCAGGGGCACCTGGAACAAATCCTAAGGGTACTGCAACAAAATTTGTTCAAGACTAACAAAAAGAAGTGTTCCTTTGGTTGGCTCGAGGTTGAATATTTGGGTCACGTCATATCAACAACAGTCATGAAGATGGATCCAAAAAAGTTAATACAGTGGTGGAGTGGCCTCAGCCACGGTCTATGTGCGGGAGGTGCGCAGGTGCTTGGGCTTGACAGGCTATTACTGGCGATTCATCAAGAATTATGGTATAATTGCAAAACCACTCACCAGTTTGTTGAAGAAGGAAGCAGCCTCGGTATTTGAATGGACGAACGAGGCGGAGATTGCCTTTACCTCCCTCAAGAGGGTGCTCACAAAAGCATTGACGGAGCCACTTTGTTATCGAATGTGATGCATCAGGCACCGGAGTGGGTGTAGTCTTAATGCAAAAAGATCGTCCTAAAGACCATTTTATCGTGAATGACAGGCACTTTGGAATCACCCAAAAGGGAACCCGTCATCTCGATTCCCTGATCTAGCCCATTCGAATTCTAGTTCGAGGTTAGCTAGTTATCCTAAAATACCGATATAGCCTCACGTGTTTGCAAGGAACGAAGATCGAAAACTACGCTTTATCATCCCAAACAATCGACGAGTTAATCGAACTCGATGGATAGTTTCAATTTGGCTCTAATACTATGTAGAGAAATAAAGAAGGGGAAACATTGTTATATTATTCCAAAAGAAAAAAAGAAGAATACATACATTTAGTGTAACACCCCGGTCGGCTCAAACCGGAGTGTCACCGTCACGCCACACCGGAAGGCTCATTCATCAGCCAATGAGCCTTACGTTATAGCGCTAAGGCTAAAATAATGATAAAAACAACTAAATAGAGATTTAAAATTAAAACGCACCGTCTTATCATTTAAATAAGTGAAGTTCGAGTAAAAAATATAAGTTGGAAATACTTCAAAAGGCATTGGTTTTTAAACAATAATAATTAATTTCAAAAACATTCTAGAAGATAAAAGTAGTTTTAGTTCCTCCAATGGATCATATGACGTGGATGTATCACTTAGGTATAACGAAAACACCATCACCTACAAAAAGTTTGTAGAATGAGGGTCAACACGACAGTTGAGTAAGCGCAATTAATCGAAGATAAATTAATACGGTATAAGTCATGATTCACGTATAAATGCCACAATTATTTTAAGAAGATAATTTGAATAGAATATCACATATAACACAAGGATAACTCTCACATACAAGTCTTTTAGCGTCTCCCTTATATCTCTTTTTTATTCTCAAGTAATTGTGATGAACACATCACATGGAAACTCCGCAAGGCTTTAATTAGGGCCGCTCGACCTGGTTTTCCAACCTGATTACATCGTATGACACGTCATATAGTTACACATAACAAGCATAGGGTCACAACCCTCAAGAAAAATTCATCGTGAATGATAAACACCTTGGAATCACCCAAAAATGGAACCCGCCATCTCGATTCCTCGCCCTAGCCCATTCGGGTTTTAGTTCGAGGTTAGCTAGTTATCCTAAAATACCGGTATACCCTCACGTGTTTGCAAGGCACAGAGGTGAAAGGCTATGTCTTATCATCCAAACAATCGACGAGTTGATCGGACTCGACGGATAGTTTCAATTACCAATTTGACGCAATACTCAAATGCTATTAGGCAAATTCAAAAAAGAGCTTTAAAATCAAACTGTTCCAATTGCCAAGATTTAGCCAACCAAACAAAAAGTAGAGTATTTAGAATCCAACAAGTTCATTATAGTCTCACTTAATTTCGCCAAATAAACATTTGAATAATATGTCCATCTTAATAGGAATAAGCTAACTCCAAAAAAATCATAATATTCAAACATAATCATAAATCTTTTTCCAAAAAACCATAACTAGGTTAGGGCAAAACTAGAGTTTCAAACCTATTCCACAAATTCTACGATTTTCAACTTAAAATACTATAATAATCTTCACATAAGCCCTAGGGGACGTTATAATCAACTTTCTAAACGAAATTAGTAAAACCTAACACTTTTACGGCAAACTTATTTGAAAATAACTTTGAAAAATATCAACAAAAGGGATCTAGGGATTAGAACATATCATTTATCTAAGATTAATAACACTTACCTGAACAGAAGAGACCAAAACGAAGAGTTTAGGAGAAGAAGAATTCCAAGGAGGAACAAAAGGCCTTGGCGGCGGCCGGAGAGGCTTCCTGTTCAGCCTCTCTTATTATTTTTTTTTTCTTTTAATAAACAAAATAGACTTGGGCCTAAACCTATTTTCTTAATTCCCTTGGGCTCAAAACGGTCAAAACACTCTAATCACTTTTAATTTAATCTAATTACCTCATTTTTTCGATCTGCACGCTTGGAGCTACCTCAAATAACTCTGCCAATTTAAGTTTCAAAAGGTTAGCAGGAAATTCTTTGTCTCCAATCATATGATACACTCCTACGTAAAGACAATTACGAGTCACTAGCTCTCCTGAAGGTAGTCTAATCTCTGCCGAAACCTCTGTTCGAGAATCTAATTCTAGGTTCTTACTTCTTAGCAGATCTACTCGATATGAAAGAAAGGGATGCACCGAAATCAAAGAGAATAACTACAACCAAAGAATTCACCAAGAACGTACCGGTCAGGATGTCTCCCTGGTTCTCCAGAGCTTGTCCTCTCGTCATGACATTGATGTGACCTCTCTGGCCACTCCTTCCACCTTCTCTCGCACGCTGAGGTGCCACTGGTGGCATACAACCTTGCGGCTGAGGAACCGGAGTCCTCTTAATCGCATTCGAAGCTCCAACTAACTTAGAACAAAACCTCTTGACATGTCCAGGCTCATGGCAGTAATAGCAAGTGACGGACTAGCCATCACAACGAACTCCCGGATGAGACTTTTCATATCGGCTACAAACAGTCAAACCGCCATGACTGTCACTCGAATTCCCATGAGTGAATTCAGGGCGAAATGCATAAGGCGTACCCGAGAACCTCTCCGATTAATCCTCTCGTTGATGGTTCTTCAACCCTTCTTTCACCTTCCCTTTTCCTCTATCTACCCTGCGGATTCTATCCATCCGCTCATCATATGATATCCGATTTGCCTGATAAATGTTAGCCGCCTTCTCGTATGCCTCATGAAGGGTCGTCTCACTGAAACCAGCCATGAACCGTTGAACGTCTCGGTTTAGCCCGCCAACAAACCTCGTCAACTTGCATCGATCATTCGCAGTCAAATCCAGAGCATAGGCAGCCAACTCATTAAAACGCGTGAAGTACTCCTCCACCGTCATATTACCTTGCACCAAGGCACTAAACTCATCCTCTTTTGCACTCTGAAGGTGCGGGGATAAAACCGCACCCTTATCATCCCTTTAAAGGGCCTCCCACGGTAATCCAACCAAGTTGCTCCTGGAAGACTTCTCATTATTCCACCACTTATTGGCCGATCTTTCTAAGTAATACGCGGCTATTATAGTCTTCTCTTCTTCTGGGCATCTCACCACCTCAAATATCGTCTCTAAACGATCCAACCATTCTCCAAACATAGTTGGGTCTAATTGACCAGTGAAAGTAGGAGGACTATGATGTAATACTGCATTCATAGCACTCCGGGGCTGCTGAGCGAACTGTTCCATAAACTGATGAAAGATCTTCAATATTAGGTCTGAAGGTCGAACGGGATTCTAAACTAGAGGCTCAGGGTTTTTGGATTGCCTACTCTCAACCTCTTCATCGGACTCAAGTGACATAGGAGGCTGAGCACGCCTCGGGGGCATCTGCTAATCAAGACTAGACTTAATAAACTCTAGCTAATCGAGACTAGACTTAACAAGTTCAAACTAATCAAATAGCATAACCAATGCACATAAACACACGGAATAAACATAAAATGCAATGCATACCATGAATGCACCCAAACCCGACTAAACTCATGATCTAATTGATTCTAGAAATTTCGAAATCCTAAAGTTTCATTAACCAAGAAGCATGAGCCTTTATCCTAGGCTCTGATACCTACTGTAACACCCCGGTCGGCTCAAACCGGAGTGTCACCGCCACGCCACACGGGAAGACTTATTCATCAATGTGGCGCTAAGGCTAAAATAATAAATACAAACAACTAAATAGAGATGTAAAATTATAGCGCATCGGCTTATCATTTAAATAAGTAGAGTTCGAGTCAAAAACATAAGTTAGAAATAGTTCAAAAGGCATTGGTTCTTAAACAGTAATAATGAATTTCAAAAGCATTCTATAAGATAAAGTAGTTATAGTTCCCCCAATGGATCATATGACGTTGATGCATCATTTAGGTATAATGAAAATACCATCACCTACAAAAAGTTTGTAGAATTAGGGTCATCACGACGATTGAATAAGCGCAATTAATCGAAGATAAATTAATACGGTATAAGTCATGATTCACGTGTAAATGCCACAAAATCATTTGAAGAAGATAATTTGAATAGAATGTCATATATCACATAAGGATAACTCACAGCGCCTCCCTTATATCTCCTTTTTATTCTCAAGTAATTGTGATGAACACATCACGAAGGAAAATCCGCTAGGCCTTAATTAGGGCCGGCTCGACAGGTTTTCCAACCTTATTACTTCGTATAACACATCACATAGTTACACATAACAAGCATAAGGTTACGACCCTCAAGAAAAGCTCCACGATATGTACATAAGGGTTCGAAGCCCAAATATACATAAGTCAATTTATTTATTAGTTTGCGAGATGCACCAAACGGCCCACAACCCTCTAGTCTCCAATATAACATACCAAAAAAGGATTGTACCCAATCCATCCCTCCATCACGAATGACGGTCTAAAGACCTTTTCATCGGGAATGATAGGCACCTAGGAATCACCCAAAAATGGAACCCGGCATCTCAATCCCTCGGCCTAACCCATTCGGGTTCTAGTTCGAGGTTAGCTAGTTATCCTAAAATATGGTATACCTTCACATGTTTGCAAGGCACAGAGGTGGAAGGCTATGTCTTATCATCCAAACAATTGACGAGTTGATGGGACTCGACAGGTGGTTTCAATTACCAATTAGACCCAATACTCAAATGCTATTACGCAAATTAAAAAGAGAGCTTTAAACTCAAACTGTTTCAATTGCCAAGATTTAGCCAACCAAACAAAAAGCAGAGTACTTAGAATCCAACAAGTTCATTATAGTCTCACTCTATTTGTCAAATAAACATTTGAATAATATGCCTATCTCGTTAGGCATAAGCTAACTCAAAAAAAAAATCATAATATTTAAACATAATCATAAATCTTTATTCCGAGAAACCATAACTAGGTTAGGGCAAAACTAGAGTTTCAAACCCATTCCACAAATTCTACGATTTTCAACTTAAAATACTATAATAATCTTCACATAAGCCCTAGGGGACGACGTTATAGTCAACTTTCTAGAAGAACTTATCAAAACCTAACACTTTTACAGCAAGCGCATTTGAAAATAATTTTGAAAAATATCAAGAAAAGGGATTTAAGGATTAGAACATATCATTAAGATTAATCACACTTACCTTAACAGAAGAGACCAAAAGGAAGTTTAGGAGAAGAAGAATTCTAAGGGGCTCTGGTGGCGGCCGGAGAGGCTTCCTTTTCAGCCTCTCTTATTTTTATTTTTTTTTCTTTTAATAAACATAATAGACTTGGGCCTGAATCTATTTTTTTAATTCCCTTGGGCCCAAAATGGTCCAAACACTCTAGTCACTTTTAATTTAATCTAATTACCTCATTTCTTACACCAAAAGCCCAAAACAAATAATCCCAAAATAAAATTGTCCGACTCCAGCATCAGATTCCGGAAAGTTCCGGCAAACTTCCGACGATTATTTTTACGGGGTATTACATTTAGAGAATCTTAACTAACAACTAACTAAATTATAGATATGGATATGAATATAAATAAAGATATAGATATGAATCTAATAAATCTAACAGAGTATAATTGCACTAAAAGAACATACAAATGCATAGAGCAATACTGATGATAGCCCAAATGATGAAATCAAAGCACCTGATAAGCTTCTTCACTATTTCTGCAGTCAGCAAATTTCTCTGCACTGACAAAAAGAGCCAAAGAATCTGTTTCCTCATAGGAAGAGCCGCCATGATTACCACCTTCAGTCATGCCATGATCACTAACTACCATCTGAAATATAAACACAAGACAGATTTTCAGTATTAGCATTATGAGCCAAAGCATGTACTGAATTGAGGCATGAATTGTGTACTACTTTTGCAGCAGTAATGATCAAGACAAAATATCAAAATTAAAACTACGCACAAAAATAAAAATAAAAATAAATTGAAATTAGCAAGCACTAATAGGATGCGAATATTAGTTCAAAATGTATCTGAAAGGGAAGGAGCTTTGGAATCACATTGACGGGTCTACTCGTGTTGCTAAAAAAGGTACAGAACATAATCGATGGGAGGAAAAGGATGCTCGAATCATCTCTTGCATTTTAGGTTCTATTGAAACTCATATTGTGAATAATTTACGTTCCTTTAGTACAACTAAAGTGTCACATTTTGGGAGAAATTTTTGAGATGTTTGTTAATAATGAAACTATGACCTATATTTATAGACCTTATACAAAAGAAAAAAATTCAAATAACTTAATCTAACATATATGCCTAAATAATAACCTAATATAACAGATATGCTTAAATAATAATTATCAAATGTAACACCCCGGCCGACTCAAACCGGAGTGTCACCGCCACGCCACATCGAAAGGCTCGTTCATCAACCAACGAGTCCTATGTTGTAGCGCTAAGGCTAAAATAACCATTACAAAACAACTATTTAGAGATTTAGAATTAAAGCGCACTGGCTTATCATTTAAATAAATAAAGTTCGAGTCAAAAGCATAAGTTGGAAATAGTTCAAAAGGCATTATTTCTTAAACATAATTAATGAATTTCAAAAGCATTTTAAGAGATAAAGTAGTTATAGTTCCCCCGATGAACATATGACGTGAATGCATCATTTAAGTATAACGGAAACACCATTACCTACAAAAAAGTTTGTAGAAAGCGGGTCAATACAACGGTTGAGTAAGCGCAATTAATGAAAGATAAATTAATACGATATAATGTCACAAAATCATTTGAAGAAGATAATTTGAATAAGATGACGCATATCACATAAGGTAAACTCACACACACGAGTCCTTTAGCGCCTCCCTTATATCTCCTTTTCATTTTCAAATAATAGTACTGAGCACATCACGAAAAAAACTCCATTAGGCCTTAATCAAGGCCGGCTCGACCCGGTTTTCCAACCTTATTACTTCGTATGATACGTCATATAGTTACACATAACAAGCATAGGGTCACAACCCTCAAGGAAAACTCCACAATATGTACATAAGTGTTCGAATTCCAAATATACACATAAGTTAATTTATTTATTAGTTTGCAAGGGGCGCCAAACGGCCCACAACCCTCTAGTCTCCAATCTAACATACCCAGAGGGGATTGTACGCAATCCATCCCTCCATCACGGATGACGGTTCAAAGACCTTTTCATCGTGAATGACAGACACCTCGGAATCACCCAAAAAGAGAACCCGTCATCTCGATCCCTTGACCTAGCCCATTCGGATTCTAGTTCAAGGTTAGCTAGTTATCCTAAAATACCAGTATACCTTTACGTGTTTGCAAAGCACATAGGTGGAAGGCTATGCTTTAATATCCAAATAATCGACAAGTTGATCGGACTCGACGGGTAGTTTTAATTACCAATTTGACTCAATACTTAGGTAAGTTTTAAAAAAAAAGAGCTTTAAACTCAAAATATTCCAATTGCCAACATTTAACCAACCAAAAAGTGAAATATTAGAATCCAGCAAGTTCATTACAATTTCGCTTTATTTCGCCAAACAAACATTCGAATAATATGTCCATCCCAATAGGCATAAATCTTTTCCTAAAAAAAACCATAACTCGGTTAGGGCAAAACTAGGGTTTCAAACCCATTCTACAAATTCTACGATTTTCAATTTAAAATAATATAATAATCTTCACAAAAATCTTAGGGGACATTATAATCAACTTTCTAGAAGAAATTGACAAAACCTAACACTTTTAGGGCAAACCCATTTGAAAATAATTTTGAAAAATATCAATAGAAGGATTTTCAATTTAAAATAATATAATAATCTTCACAAAAAATCTTAGGGGACATTATAATTAACTTTTTAGAAGAAATTGACAAAACCTAAAACTTTTAGGGCAAACCCATTTGAAAATAATTTTGAAAAATATCAATAGAAGGGCTAGAAATTAGAACATATCACCTATCTAAGATTAATCCCACTTACCTTATGAGAAAAATCCAAGAGGAGAAGAGTTTTGGAGAAGAAGAATTCCAAGAAAGAAAGGGGAAATTAGAACATATCATCTATCTAAGATTAATCCCACTTATCTTACGAGAAAAATCCAAGAGAAGAAAGAGTTTTGGAGAAGAAGAATTCCAAGGAAGAAAGGGGTGCTGAGCTGCGCTGGTGGGAGGGTGCTGCCTTTCTATTTTTATTTTTTTTAATTCTTTATTAAACATAAAAGACTAAGGCCTTTATTATTTATTTTACCCTACTTGGGCCCAAATTGATCCAAACTCAATTTTTATTCCTAATTTAAACCCAATTCCTTAATTTTTTAACACTAAAAGCCCAAAATAAATTAGACCCAAAATAAAATTTGTCCGACTCAGGCAAACTTCCGGCGATTATTTTACGGGTATTACGTCAAATCTAAACAATATCAACCAAAATATCTATTTAAAATATATCTCAACATAAGGAAATGTGGGAAAATCTACAATATTGCAAGATGATTCAAACTAGAACTTGAGATTGGTAACTTCAGTCAAGATAATCTCTCCATTGAGTAGTATTATTCTGAATTTATTAATCCACGGAACGAATATTATAGTATTATCTAAATTCCAAGGTACCTAAAGCGGCCTTAGCCAGCCTTCGAGCCATTCAAGACAATAGTAGGAATGATCAGCTCTTGATGAAACTAGTGCTAGAATTTGAAGCTGCACTGGCTGGATTACAGAATAGAAATCCTCTCTTCCTTAGATATATGTGTTGGTGAATTCTTGTGTGAAGAACAAAGAATAGCTACACAAGCTGTTCTAGGCTTTTTCAAGAAGTCATCTAAGGTTTGAAATGTTGCATTGCTTAAGGGAAAAAGCGTAGAAATGGACAAATGCAGTTCTATAGTTGCAAGGAGTTCGGGCATAGTGCCCACAATTGTGATAAGAATCTCTGCAATGATTGTAAACAAAATGGACACATTATCAAGCAATGTCCTACACACCCAAAAAACTGACAAGGTGAAGCTTTAGAGGATCAGGCCAAGCTTTAGAGGTTGCTATCTCAGATCCTACAACTATCAATTCTACAACCACAATTGCTGGCACAAATCAGTCTTTCGCTACTTAATAAATGGTCCAACAGATGATCCTCACAGCATTCTCTGCTCGTGGAGTTTAGGATCAAGATAAGGTTGTTTCCTCTCCTTGGTTTGTCTATGGGGCATCATGCCCTTCGGACTTACTAACGCACCGGCAACATTCCAGTCGGCCGTAACTGTGTAAGTTTGTACTTGTTTTTTTTATGACATATTGGTGTATAGCCGTATGTAGGATAAACACATAAGGCATTTGATGCATGTGATGGAGCTTTTACAGAAGAATCAATTCACCGCGAACAGGAAAAAGTGTTCATTTGGATGTGTGGAAGTAGAGTATTTAGATCATGTCGTTTCCGCTGCGGGGGTAGCTATGGACCCGGGAAAGGTGCATGCAGTTGAGACATGGCCTACTCCAACTTCGGCGCGAGGAGTTCGTGATTTCTTGGGCTTGACAGGATACTATAGGAGGTTTATACGTGGATATAGGACTCTTGCAAGACCTCTAACACAATTGTTGAAAAAAGACTTGACAGGAAAATTTTCATGGTCTTCAGAAGCACAACTTGCCTTTGACCGATTGAAGAAGGCCTTAACAACCGCCCAAGTTCTTGCGATGCCTAATTTCCAAAAGCCTTTTGCTGTGAAGTGTGATGCGTCCGGCACTGGTGTAGGGGCAGTATTGATGCAAGATGAGCGCCCCTTAGCTTTCTTTAGTAAGGAAATGGCAAACCGTACCCTGACCAAATCAGCATACGAGCGTGAGTTGATGGCACTGGTACTTGCAGTGCAACATTGGCGACCATACTTGTTGGGACAGCGCTTCACGGTTCGCACAGATCACCATAGTTTAAAGCACTTGTTCTCCCAAAAGATTATGACCCCTGGACAACAAATTTGGATGGCAAAATTGTTGGGATATAACTTTGAAGTGGTGTACAAGCCCGTTCGGGTCAACTCGGCGGCGGATGCATTGTCTCGGATATAGTACGATATGGATGGTGAAGAAGGAGAGACAGGCTCCACCTAGTCAATTTTGCCTTCGGTTGTGTGGCCGGAATTTGAGGAATTGGCACGGGAACAAACATCAAGTCCTTTTCTGCTCGCAACTATTGAAGAACTAAAGGTCGACTCCTCGGCTCACCCAGGCTATGAATTGTTAGGAGGAACATTATACTATCGAGGCCGCTTAGTCATCGCACAAGGCTCAAGTTGGATTCCTGAGTTGTTGCAGGAATTCCATGATACACCGCAAGGAAGGCATGCGAGCACTTATCGTACTTATCGGGGGCTGGCTGTTGCCTTATATTGACGGGGAATGTATAAAACAGTGCAAGAGTATGTCCGGGCCTGTTTGGTATGTCAAAGATCGAAATATGAGGCGATGTCTCTAGCAGGCCTGATACAACCCTTCTCTATTCCGTCTTCCGTTTGGTTCGATGGATTTTATCACGGGACTTCCCCGCTCTCAGGGGTATACGGTGATTCTTATGGTGGTGGACAGGCTCTCAAAATTTGGTCATTTCATTGAGCTTCGTAGGTCCTTGTCTGCAAAGAAAGTTGCCGACATATTTGTACGAGAAATTGTGCGACTGCATGGGGTGCCAAAATCGATTGTTTTGGATCGTGACTCTTTATTCTTAAGTAACTTTTGGCAAGAGTTTTTTCGTTTGCAAGGGACGGCTCTTAAACTTAGCTCGTCTTACCACCCGGAAACGGATGGACAAATGGAGGTGCTTAATAGGGTTTTTGAGACATTTTCGTTGTTTTGCTTCCGAGTAGCCGCATAAATGGGGTGGGATGCCTTCCTTGGGCGGAATACAATTACAACACGGCTCATCAAAGTGCTTCAAAGATCACCCCCTTTGAGGTGGTATATGGGCGGCCACCCCCGGGGCTCCAACGTTTTCTTCCAAAAGAATGCCAAGTGAATTCAGTGGCAAAAATTCTGAGCTACGAGTTTTGGCTTATCATTTATCCCAAGCACAACAACGTATGGTGAAGCAAGCTAATAAGCATCGGCGGGATGTGGAATCTTTTGTGGGGGCCAAGGTAAACGGTACAGACAGCTTTCTATTCAAGCAGACCGAAGTTCACACAAGTTACCCCGAAGTTTTATGGTCCATTTGAGGTGGAAAAAGAGGATTGGCAAGGTGGCATACCGCTTACGGTTACCACCACACAGCCATGTGCACCCGGTTTTTCATGTGTCATTGTTGAAGCAAGTTGTGGGAGATCATCCGATTGAAGGGGAGCTTCTGGACAACTTGGAGACTTGCGAAATACCATTATTTGAGCAAAGCAAGGTGTCTTTCACGGGGAGGCAATTGACACCAACGAACTTTGGCAGCGTCAGGAGGATCGACCGCCAGTGGTTTACTCGCGGCGGATCCGGAGAGAAGCAACCCACTTTGGGTTAATAGTAGCACTTTAATTATTTGAGTATTTTGGATTTTATATTTAATTATATTATTAAGTCTAATAACAAGATTATTGGGCCATTAGGGCCCAATAAGAAGTTATGTTAAAAGTCCTAAATCTTGGGGCATCTAGGGTTTTGGGAATCAACCTTTTAGTTGGGAATGAAGACATTTCGTTGTTTTCTATTTTCTCTATTCAATAAAGATTTATATTTTACTTCGTATCATTGGATGAACCCAGTTTCATCCAACACAACTATCAACGTCTACAAACAAGTTCACGTGACCCATAAATAAGATGTTCATTCTGTATAATACCGGTGTGTTTGTTTAGGGGATTGGATTAAATCCGCTATTCATCCCAATTTTTTCCCCCAAAAAACATCAAATCAAACACCTATTTTTCATTTTTTATATTATACTAAAAATCAATTTTACATTCAAAACATCACATCAACACCTATTTATATCACATCATACAACTATACAAATTCAAAATTTTTACTATTCAAATCTCAACTTAAAATCCAAACCCCAAACAAGCACACCCTAAGTTTCTTCCAGAAATCCTCAACATAGTAAACTGCTGCTTTCTTGAAAACAAATATGTAAAGTGAAATATAAGGACCGTTTATAATACTTGAGAATCCATCAAATGGAACTTAAGACAAAAACATGCTCAAACAGCTTACGCAACATTAATGACAACCAATTATACATGCAGAACAATAATAGTTGTGCACCAGAACTTCCAACTGATGAGAATAAAGCAGCACGAACCAAAAGCGTCCTTTGATCAACTTCATTTGTTATAGTTGAATGAATCCTTCTAATCACTTCATCCATCTCCATGAGTTTTGGGCCCATCAAGATGCTAGTGCAATAAAAATAATTGAGTTGCCTAGCATCCTGAACTATAGAAACATGCATAAAAAAATGATAAAATGCATTACCTGTTTCGTCCACCAATATGTCCAACATGATCCAATCCAAGATAATGAAGAATCTGTAGTGGACAGAAAATTATATAGGGCATGATATTGTACCAGCAAAAGAGATGATTCTTTCATTATCTAGTAATTGCTATTGTCACATAATTGAAAAGTACTTTTCCCAATTATGATTCTATTCATATAACTATAAAAAGGGCCCTTTGATTCAATGGTCCAGTAAATAGCCTCATTACCCAAAGTTTTTAAGCTTAAATATGATGGAGCACAAGCATTGCAAATCTATGTATTGCTAAATGTGCCGTAAACACCTATTATTTATTTTTTGGGTGTGTTCTTCCACCATGTTCTCGACACGATTTATAATATATATAATATTATACCTTATCATCTCACAAAAAATCAACATTCGATATAAAATATTACTTCCTCAGTCTGCCTCTAAGGGTCACATCTACCTTTTGCGTCATTGTACTTAACATTAAAAATATCTTAATATTTGTATAATTTTTTTTACAAATGTCCTTCTATTAGTATTATAAGACACTAATTGAAGTATTTTTGTAATATTTCATAATTTGTACTACGTTTTTATATAATAATTAATATTCAAATATCAACACGCAAAAAGTAAATGGGACCCTTAGAGCCGGACGAAGGTAGTATTTTGTTATATTAGTTACGCAATTCTCTATACATCACATAAAAAAATATACATCAAACCAAAACACTAAACAAACAACCCCTTTATATTCTACTGAAAATTAATTCAATATTCAAAACAACATATCAATACCTTATTATATCACACCAAAACAACTATTCCAATTTGAAGTTATATTATTCAAAACCCCAAATGAACTTAGGGCTATACCGAGTTTTTATGGGCCCCGGACAACAAAAATGAAAAAGGGACCCTTATTTAATTTTTTTATATATAAATAATATGAAAATAATAAATTTTAATTATTTATTTTAAAAAATAGATTTGTTTGATTGTGTTTTTAAATTATTATTCTCTCATAAAATATCACATTAAAGTACAATTTAAACTAAACTTTAAATACAACGAAACAAACTTTAATATACACATTTAATATTATACATATATCTAGATTTATTAAAAAAATAGTAAAATAGCCCAGCCCTAACTCAACTCTCAAAGTTACAACCAAACATACCTTGTAATTTTTAATCAATCACTGTTATGGTCAGTTAGAATTATTGTTTAATGTTCTCTGAACTAAGAAAGTAAAAGTAGAAACAAAGGGTTTGTTCTTCCAACATAATTTTTTCTACACAATTCTCAATAGATATAATATATATTTTTTATCATCTCACCAAAAAATCAACATTCAACATAACACAATTCCCTATACCTCACATAAAAAATTATATCTCAAACCAAAATACTAAACAAACAAACCAAAAGTAAGAATAGAAAGAAGAATATATTTTAATCCATAATAGCAATAAACAGATGAATAAATGGAGTAGTTCAAGAAATCAAAATCCAGTTGAACAGGGGATTGGCAACAATTATATCATCAATAAAACATTAAACTTTCAGTATCTGCTACTCCATTTTCTTATATCGAATGCATCAAATAGATAAAATAATGGCCCAAACAGCAACAAATCTCAGTTAAATATACAAACTACATCTTCAACAATGCCGCAGATATAACATTAAGCAAATAGAAAACGGAGTATTGGCAATCAATTTATTCAATGACAATATGCTGAGCACTGAAGTTGCAAGCTCTAGCATTTACCAGAAGATCCCAATCAGTATTGCTAAGCTCCATTTCCAAATGTCTAGAAACATTGAAATCCACTTGGATGGTATCTTTAACCTGTGTAGTAAGAACTCACCAAGACAAACTGAAATAATATTACCTGATTTCTATATGTCAAAATCAATCCAGATTGAAAATTGAAATGACAAAGTAAGTTAAGCATTCAACGGAACTTACAGTTCACTACATAATGGAATGAAATCAGCTTGCAAACAGCCAAGTATGTTAACTACAGAGGTTTTTTCAGTCTGAAGTCATATGAGGATTCTACCAAATGTACCAACAATATCCTTATTTTTTAAAATTACGAATTCACCAAGTTCAGTAATGCAATAGACTGTCATTATTTTCATTATGTCACAAATACATTAGATAACCATGTAAATTACATACAATAAATGCATAGCACAAGAAAAAGAAAGATAAATCAGGTTCATTTATGACAGAAACAAATTTGTAAACGTACGGTGTGTTTACTTGGGGTAATTAAAGCTTGGGATTGATTAAAGTTCGTCATCATAATACACTAATCAAGGATGACAAACCCTAGTAATTTATCCAAAAGTAAAATTTATACAAAAAATATACATTATCCTATATTTAATCAAACAAAGTAAACATAGTATTAATTAGTCTCATGATTATATAATTTATTCAAATAACATTAGGGATTATAATTTTATCCTACAAAATAAACACACCCTTAGTTGTCAGTTGTCACATCAGTCTCCTAATTTCCTAAAACTAATACTAAAATAAAACTACTATTAAAAAGCATTCCAAAGGTAGATGGCTTACAAAGAAGCTGCTAACTCCATCATGTCTGGCAAACATGTCCGGAAACAACTTAAGCCATGTTTCATCACCAAGCATCACCATTTTCCAGCCAATTTTGAAAAATTGAGCTGTAACACGACAGATTAGAGATCCAAAACATCAGAGGCCCATAATCAGCAGCTTCTTCAGAAAAGTATATAAATGTATATGTAAGTATTCCTTATAAAGAAACTAACCAACAAGGTTATCATCCAAAAAGGCTTGCGTGTTGAAATTAAAAGCAACATCAAGAAATCCCCCAATAGCCCCAGAAACCATGGCCTGCTTGTAGCCATTAAAGATACTTCAGGGTTTACGCACAGAAATGCTTCACCTGTCAGGTACTGAATGCCAAAGGGATTAAAAATGATAATTGGTTACCTTTAAGCGAGGCATTGTCACAGTTGGCGGTGCCGCCTTAGCATGATACCCAATTGCCAAACCTTCAGCCAATAATGATTGGGTATAAGGCATAGCAGCCCTAAAAGTCTTTGCAGGAGGCTTCCCATTCTTCCCAAGAACAAGTTCAGCTGGAAGACCATCGACAACCTAGATTATATCACAAAAATTTTAGAAACAAATATTTTGAAAGAACCATTTCTTTTTAACAAGTTGAAACTTTACATACCATGAATATCAACCTATCATATAGTGGAGGAACACCTGAGAGTTCCTGCATTCACCACTAGTAAGGCACATGAGATTGTTGCAGAAGCTCAACATATATCTGTCTAAGCATATCTTACTGATTGCCATTACTGTGGGTGAAAGGCATTTCACGGGGAAAAAATCATCTAGATTAAATATATGAGTTTTTCAAGTATCATTCCACCAACAACGACGCCAGGGGAACCCTATCACAAAACAAAAACTAGGTAAAGAACATACAACAAATGGAGACCTGGTATGAAGATTTGAGCTCTTGAGGACTCAATGTTGAAATGTTTTGACCTAATCCAGTCAAATCAAAGCCCGGGGGATAAAAGCTCTCCAAACCGCTTAAACAAAGCAATAAGAGACATTCTCAGTGAAGCATTTCCATAAGAAAAAAATAAAATAAAATAAAACTTTGAAGAGAGTATAAGAACCGTATAGGAACGATAGGACCAACCTCATGCCCGAGAGCGTTGGCGTCACGGGGAAGAATCCCACCAAGAAAACCGAAACGCCAATTGTTTGTATTAACACTGCCGAGAATGCGAACAAAGCAAGCTTCGTGCATGGTAACGAGCTGTGATTGGTCTGCATCTGACTCCTCAATATGCTAATGCTTCTAATGTCGTCAAGATGAATTTATCTGAATCTGCCACCAAGAAAAGCAAAACGCCAATTTTTTTACTTTTACTTCTATTTTAGTTTTTTGCCGGCCGAAGGCAACCACCGGCGGGATCAGCAGCTGGAGGCAGAAGAAGATGGGAAAGGAAGAGGGCAAAGAAATATACTTCACCACGAAGAAGGAAATGAATGCAGAAGGGTGAAACAAATCGGAGATATGGGCGACCGGCGGAACAGCGTAGGTGTAAAATAAAGAAGAAAGAATGGGGAAAAGGGTTTGGTATCGTCTGTGGGTATGAGTAGCGGCGGCAAATGAATCAGCGTCAGATATAGACGGGTTAAAAAATTAGTGACATGACTATGGATTGATGTATTCAATTTTAAGCTGATATTTTGCTAATAGCGTCAACTCGAATTTAATTTACATAATATGTTTAAATTAAAAGATGGTAAATTTCATATTAAAATTATAATTTTCATTAACAAAACTTTTTAAATGAATAATATTCCCTCCGTCCCATCGCAGAAGCAGTTTTAATATTAATATTACTAATTTACCCTTAATAATAATAATAAAGTTTATAACAAATCATAAACCTAGCCGTCGCTACTCATCAGTTCTCTCTAGCCGTGTTTGTTCCTCCTTCTGCATTCCTTTTGAATTTTCTGTTGTTGTCGCTACCGCTAGCACCGCCATTTATTGTCGTGCAAAGATCTATCTTTTTCTTAAGTTTTATATTTTGTTGTTATTTTTTTGCAAATTACTTATTATTGGATTTTGATATATTTTTTCTTATCGAACTGTACTATTATGAATCGAATTTGACTGCACAATTATTTTTATTATTATTTTATGAACTAGTACTGGATCATAAGATTGAAGATACAATCATATTAGCAATTTAAATATATATATACACTGCTTTGGTAAAGATTATGATATATATATGGCAAAATTGCCCATAACTCCTTTTTTGTTTCGAAATTCAGTGTAAATTTCCCCTCTACTTTAATAATGGCATGGTATCTCCTTATACTTTAAAAAATATTACATGAAACCACTTTGTGGTTACTTTAAAAAATATTGCATGAAACTCAGCATAAATTTCGAAACCACTTTGTGGTTACTTTAAAAAATTGCATGACGCTCACTTATACTTTCAAAAATGTTGCATAAAACCCTTCTACCATGCAAAACATATAGATAGGAAATCATCTTCTTATCACATGAGGAAAGTTTCATGATGGTGGGGTTTCATGCAACTTTTTTTAAAGTATAAGGGGGTACCATGCAATTTTTAAAGTAGAGGGGGAATTTACGCTGAATTTCGAAACCACAAGGGAGTTATGGGCAATTTTGCCTATATATATATTGCTTTATGCAAGATTATTAAACGAAATTTAATTTTCTTTAATTATTTTGAACCGAAAAATTTGATTGGATATTTATTATTATTATGTTCTGTTTTATGAACAGATTTGCCTGTGCGCTTGCATTTTTGTTACTATCCGGTGGTTATTATTATTGTTATTATTATTGTATATAACATTACTGTTATGGATTTTATGTGTATTGAAGCATGTTTCTTTTTATGTATTATTATTATATTATAACAACCAAATTATATTATATTATAGTGAGGACGTAACAATGCCAACTTAATCGAATCCGGTTAATCTTAGTGAAAGAATTGAGAAAAAAGCCAAATGGACAGGCTATAATACTGGAATCTTCTTAGATATTTGTAAAGAAGAAATTGATGCTGGCAATAGACCACACACTCATTTTACAAGGGAGGGATGGAATAATTTGATGAAATTTTTTTATGAAAAAACGTGTTACCAATATGATAAGAAACAACTTAAAAATAGATGGGATAGTTTAAAACTAGAGTTTGGTTTGTGGGCAAAATTTGTTCAAGCTCAAACTGGCATTGGATGGGATCCTATCAAGAAAACAATAACAGCAACAGAAGAGATATGGACATCAAAAGCTAAAGTACGTAGTACTTTTAATTAATTAATTGTATAAATAATTGAAAGTGGTTCATTATATGTATGTTTTTGTTTTTTTACATATATAGGAAAATCCGAAGTATCTTATATGTAAAGATCGTCCTTCGAAATTTTTGGATTTTATGGAAAAATGTTTTAAGGATGTAGTAGCTACGGGTGAATATATTTTTTGACCAATTGAAGACGAAAGTAACGAACAACTTGCTAGTACTGAAGATTTGATTTTAGAATCGCCAATGGATGCTAGTGATAATTACATAGAAATTGACAAAGGACCAAACACACAAAATAAAGATACAAAAAAGAGAAAGAGAGTGAAGAAGGATGAGAAGAGAAGTGGACTTGATAGGCTTCAAACATCAATTGAGCAATTAATTGATTGTAGTATGAATCAATGACAGCTTGCAAAAGAGAATGACACTCCTAAATTGAAAGATTGTTTGAAAATGCTTAAAGATATGCCTGACATGGTACCTTCGAGTGATGTTTATAACTTGGCATTACGAGTACTTGTGAACAAACAACACAGGGAAGTATTTGCTTATCTTATGAAAAATGAACGTGAAGCTGTTATGAGTTGGTTGGCCACATTTTCTCTTGAGGATGTGAAACACTTCAAATGAAATAATGATATACATGTGTATACATTCTGAATAATCTACCTTATTAACAATTTATTAACTGTGAACTAGTTGATTATTTTTTTATCAAATAGATTTTGTTTGTGGAACTTTTGTTTATATTTCTGTTTATTTCAACATTTGTTTATTGATTACTTATATTTTGCACAAGTGTGTATTTATTTTATTATAATTTTTTACATGAATTTTTTTAAACAGTCATAGATATTGTGTTTATTTATATCATGTGTACGGGATGAATAAAGATTTTGATATTGGATCGGATGAAGATGAAGAGAAATATGATATTATTAATAAACATAGCGAGTCACTCCATATTGCAATAAAGTTAACAAGCGCTTATATTGGATTGTACTATTTGAAATATTTTCATAAAGAAAAGAAGAGAACATCGTGTCTTTCTGGACATGCTTGTGTTGAAGAGGTAAAACTCCGACATGAAGAACGATTTTTTGAGCAATTTCGAATGAGAAAACGTGTGTTTTACAAGTTAGCATCTGACCTAAATACGAAATTTGGATTGAAACCAACTCGAAATGTCAGTCTACATGAATCTGTGGCTATTTTTTTATACATGGTTGGACATGCTTCGTCAGTGAGAGAATTGGAAGAAAGATTTCAACATTCTGGAGAGACAGTATCTAGGCTTATTCATAGAGTTCTAAAGACTATTCGACGTTTAGGCGTTGAAGTAATTAGACCTATTTATAATAATTTCAAAGATGCTCAAGAATATTTTAGAGATGATACCCGTTATTGGCCATATTTTCAAGATTGCATTGGGGCAATGATAAGACTCACATTGCCATTCATGTATCTGATGATAAAAGGACACCATTTGTTGGTCGGAAGGGAATGATAACTACAAATGTTCTCGCTGTCTGTGATCTTAATATGTGCTTCGTTTTTGCATTGATCAGTTATGAAGGGTCTTCTCATGATACTAAAATATTTTATGAAGCTCTTCATAATTCGAAATACAATTTTCCTTTGCCACCTAAAGGTACACAATATTTTTATAAACTATTTTCTCTTACTATTTCATTATGTTTATTATTTATACAAAAGTTATTTTACTATTATTATTAGTATTATTATTATTGTTGTTTTTTTTTTTGTAGGTATGTATTATCTAGTTGATTAGGGATATCCTACATTTGATGTATTTTTGGGACCATACCGAAATACTAGATATCACCTTCCAGAATTTAGGTTGGCTCCAGAATTTCGATCTCAAAATGAGCGCTTTAATTTTTATCACTCAAGCATGCGAAGCATCATTGAAAGTGCTTTCGGAGTTTGCAAAGCAAGATGGAAGATACTTCAAAATATGCATTGTTTTGATCTTCAAGATCAATTTGCTATTATATGGGTCTGTTTTGCTCTTCATAATTATATAAGAAGAATGGATTCTGATATTGATATGCTTGAGATGTTTGAAGATCTTGGTGAGATAGTAAAAATTAATCGCAACGAAGAAGTTGGTGATATTGAAGACCAACGAGAATGGGAAGGACCAACGATCCAAAGTGTCAAATATATGGAAGAAAAGAAAGACTCTATTAGGAACCAAATTCCGCGGCGACATCGAGGATGATAAAGTTTAAATTATTTTATTTGAATATATTATCAATAAAAAAAAAAACTATTTCTTTAAATTGCTTTGCAAACTTTATACATAATATGTTTCTATTTATTTTTTAATGCACGTAGATTTCATATTTTAATATTTTATAGTTAAATTTAATTTTTAATTAATTATTTATTTATTATACTTAAAAAAATTTAAAAAATATATTTATTAATTATATTTGGTAATATATTTTTAATTTATTTGTAAAATTTTAAAAATTCATTACAAAAGTTTAAAATAAAAATATATTTAGATTAACCGTATGTCCTTTTTGTAATTTTGACATTTTAAAATCACTTTTAATTTTATTATATCAAAACAGTTTTTTTATTAAAAGCTGCTTTTATAATTATTATACAAACATAAAATCGAACTGCTTCTGCTTTGGCTTCTGCTTTTGGCTTCTGCTTAATTTAAGTCAATCCAAACGACCCTTAACAAATATAAATCAACTTAATTAACTACGTAACATACAACATTATAAATGACGTAGGACTCACTCAAAATCCTTTTATTTCTACCTCTCTCCTAAAAAAAATAAATATTTTTATCTATATTTAAAACTACACATCTTTTATAAAATTTATTTATGTTAATTATAAATAAACAAAAATATTTTTTTATTTACTTGTATTATAGAAAATTTTATTCTCTATAAAATGATATCCATATTGCATATATTTTTTAATTGCTATATAATTTTTAAATATTTAAATATATTTTAATTTTTTAATCATATATATTAAATTTACTTTAAAAATATAAATATTATTAATTATACAAAAAAATAATATAATAATATCATAACCAATTATTATTAACTAATTAAACATTCCCACCTTAAATACCGTGTCCCTAATAAAAGGATTCAATTCTTATGGGACGGAGGGAATATATGATTAAATATATACTAAAATAGAAGTTTTTTTATTCATATTATGAAATCGATTTTTTAAAATCTAATTAACAAATACCATACAAAATACTAAATCAAAAGTATTTGTCTCATAATATAAACACTACAAAAAAATAGTATAT